ATAGTCCCATTTACAGATGAGCAAACTGAGACTCAGACATTAAGTAACTTTCCTGTAGTCACATTTACAGATGAGCAAACTGAGACTCAGACATAAAGTAACTTTCCCATAGTCCCACAGTTGGAAGGTAGTAGAACCAGGATTCAAACCCGCTGTCAGTGCCTGGAGCCTGACTGGGCCCAGGGCAGAGCAGAGTGATGGGAGAGGTGGGGAGGTTCCTGGAATAAGGACCAGAATGCAGTGTGTTCATTGGGGATGTGGTTAAAGTGGGAATGGGGTTTACCCTTGCTCATCCTTCCTCATCCAGAGACCTCATGCCCTGTCCTGCAATCTTTGCGTATATGGATGCATTGGGGGATATTTCCTCTGGGCACAGAGGCCCCCTTCCTCTCCCAGATTTATTTTAGGGTGAGTGACTAGAGTCCTGCAGCTGAAGCCAGGGCCTTCTTGGGAATGGTGGGGCAGGGGTGGGGGGTTGTTTTTGGAAAAGCAGCAACTGTTTAGGGAAATATCTCTTGAAGTTGAGAAAAATGGGAGTTATGTAGAGGGCAGGGTGCTGAGCATTGGTGGAGGTGGAAGGAGAGTGCAGGGAGGACTTATCAGTTATAAACACACACCCCATGTCTATTCTGGAGCCTGGAAGTGAAAGTCTTTTGTGACATCACTGGCAAGCTGTGGTCTGTCCTCTGACTGTCTCACCGCCCCCCAGCTTCCTAGCCTCCTCCTCTATGCTCAAATCCCCAAAAACGTGACTCCCAGACTACCCCAGACCCTTCCCACCACATAGCATTCTTCCCCTTAGGTTTACTTGAGATTCCCCTGTCTTCAAGATTTGGGGCCCTTGGGGACGCCTGGGTGGCTCAGTCGTTGAGCGTCTGCCTTCGGCTCAGGTCCTGATCCCAGGGTCCTGGGATCGAGCCCCACGTTGGGCTCCCTGCTCCGCGGGAGGCCTGCTTCTCCCTCTCCCACTCCCCCTGCTTGTGTTCCCTCTCTCACTGTGTCTCTCTCTGTCAAATAAATAAATAAAATCTAAAAAAAAAAAAAAAAAAGATTTGGGGCCCTTGGCCAGAGCCCCTCTGGAGGATGCTCTGGGGTCAGCCCTGAGAAGACTGGGCCACAGGGGACCGCTGCCTTCTGAATGTGTGGGGCCAGAATGTTCAGGTCTTCTGGCATCAAACCCAGGGATCAACTTGCCCCCCATGCCATGAGACAGGCCAGTGGCCCAGACACCGCCCATAGGGGAGCCCAGGAGGGAAGGTGCCCTCTCCTAATCTGAGCCCATCTGTCTACACTGGCCTTGGATAGGTATGAGTGGCCATGTGTGTGAGTTTGTGTGGTGGGGCAGGCAGAGGAATCTGGACTTTAGGAGAGAGGAAAATAATGTGGTGGAGGGGGGTTGTATAACAAAGGATTTTTGCTTGCGACTAATAGTCTCCAGCTGCAAAAATACCAAAGTGGAGGCCAGGCCGGTCTGGGGACGCCCGTTCTTGCCAACTCCTCACCGGCCTGCTGAGTGGGGCCCTGCCTGGCCTTTGGGAGGTGGAAGGGGAGACCGGCCAAGGGTAAATAATCTAGAGCAAGGACGATCCCTCTGCCTGCTCTCCCGGAATTGGCAGGGAAGCCAGGCCAGGAGGGAGTCTCAAAGGTCGGCCATGTCCTGGGAGGCACAGGGGGGCGATTGTGGAGCTGCACCTGCGATGGGGGGGCATTCGATCTCTTCATATTTCTTCCTCCTTCCTTCTTGCTGAGGGAAGGGTGGATGGGGAGCAGCACCAGGGTGTTGCTAGCCCTGAGCTGGGCAGTGACTCAGGGAAGCCTCAGGAAGTTAGAGAGAAGGATGCAGCTGCACCAGCTGGTGCTGGGAAAATGGCTTCCAGTGAAGTTCCCTTGCATGCCATCAGCCCCCCCCACCCCACCGTGCCCACCAAGTAAAGGACGCGCGGCCCCATTTGCCTTCCAACCTACTTGCTGGCTAGCTGCCCGGTACTGCAGCAGGTCTCCCCCCAGCCACCTTAGGGACTTTGGGTTTCCTCCAGAGGCCGCCTAGTGGCATTCGTTTTGATCTGTTTTCTCTGTGGTCACAGTGTGGGGGGCAGTGTGATTGCCTTACCCCAGCCCCGGGCCCTCTTCCTCTGTGGCCTGGGACCCGCACTTCCCAGGCTGCTCTGCCTCTTTCTTCCCCTATCTGCAGGATGAGCCAGTACTAGGAGCCCGGAGGAGACAGTGCTTGGGCTTGGGGCTGCGTCAGCAACCACAGGGGCAGTGCCTCTACTCCGTGACCTCCTTCTCTGGTCACCTTGAAGTGAGGCTTAACAGGGGCGCGGGGGGCCTGGGAGGACCTGAAGAGGAAACCAGTTTGATGAGAGCCCCGAATTGGCTCTTGCTCTTCCTCTTCCTCCGCGGCCTAAGTCCTGTGACTCTGAGTCAGTGTCAGGGCCTAGCCAATTTCCTTGGGAACCACGTTCCTGTTCCCTTTGCCCCCACCCCCACCCACTGTTAGAAAACAACCCCTGAATCCCTGTGGGGGGCGGGGAGGATTAAAAGGGGGTTGAGCAGAGTGTCTAGTTATTATACCCACAGCTCTGTGGGGGCGGAATAATCCCTACTGGGTTTGAGTGGGGGTAGTGTGTGGGAGTAAGTTGCAGCCAAAGGCAGGTGGTCCCCAGATCTCTTTACCTGTTGGGGCAATTGGTGGAGGTGGAGTGCAAGGCAGGGGTCCCGAGGAGTCACTGTCTTAGGAGATTCCCAGTTTGCAAGAGGTGTTCCCTCTGGTGGTGGTAGTTGGAGGGGGCAGTGAGTGGATGGGAGCCAGTGGGTCTTGGAGAGGAGGAGCCCGAGGAGGCCCGCAGGGGTCCTGGTACTCAGAGTTCCTACTGAGTGTGGGCGCCTGGTCTCCATCCTCCTCTCGTCTTCACCTTTCTGAAGCTCCCCTTCTTTGTGAACCGTGCCTCGGTTTACTTTCAGAGTCCTTTTATGGCCCTCCTCCTATGTTCTCTGTCCTTCAGCCCTGTATGTTATTCTCTGCTCCTTCCCACCGTAGGGTAGGAAATTGAGCAATAGGGACATTGAAGAAACGGGAACGGGGGTGAGTAGAGGAAGTTTGGCCTATGTCACTGGTTCCAATCTTTTGATACCATGGACCTTCCCTTTTCCATTTCTGTGGGTGCCATATTTTGACATACTTTTCTCTCAGATTGTATTTATTAATGGTGTGCCCTGCTTTTCCATTTTTAAGAGTCACACAACATGTACATGTCTGGTTAGTGCCCTGGCTGGCATGAGATAACTTGACTTACCATAGAACAATGAAAATTCAGCCAACATCAAATGTGCGTGATGTTTTAGTTAGCCTGAGTGCTGGTATCTCAAGCAAAAGCATATGTAAAAATAGCGGAATGAACTTGGGGACCTGTCCTCACTGCCTTTTGGTACCCCAAGAAGATGGTCCCGCTAGGGGAAGGGCTAGAGCTGGGGAAGCTTGTCCATGAACTAATCAGCCAACACGGACCCAGTGCCTCCTGTGTGCGGCCCTGAGCTCGGTGTGTGGAGCAGGACTCTGTGGGAGGGCACTCGGACACTTGTCTTTAGAGAAACCAGATAGGTTTCTCAGACGCTTGTCTTTGGAGAAACCAGATAGAAACCAGCTAGGAAAGATGGCAAAGCGTACAAGGCAAAATGTGCCCTTGCCAAGAACTCCCATAGGAGCTCAGAGAGGAGGGAGAGCTAGAGCCTCCATGGTGAAGGAGGTCGCCCCAGAGGAGGTGGGCTTCCAGGGGTGGGTTCTGCACCAACAAGGGTGGGCATGTCCGTAGGAGGACCTCCCCCCATAGCTCTTTCATTCACATTTTCCAGACGTGGAACAGATGGCCATCGACTGGCTGACGGGCAACTTCTACTTTGTGGATGACATCGATGATAGGATCTTTGTCTGCAACCGAAACGGGGACACGTGTGTCACTTTGCTGGACCTGGAGCTCTACAACCCCAAGGGCATTGCATTGGACCCTGCCATGGGGTAAGAGGCGTGGGCCGAGGCTGTGGTGGAAGGGAGAGTGCCCGATGTCCAGAGCCCAATTAACATGCCCTCTGCCCACAGGAAGGTGTTCTTCACTGACTATGGGCAGATCCCAAAGGTGGAGCGCTGTGACATGGATGGGCAGAACCGCACCAAGCTGGTTGATAGCAAGATCGTGTTTCCTCACGGCATCACGCTGGACCTGGTCAGCCGCCTCGTCTACTGGGCTGATGCCTACCTGGACTACATTGAGGTGGTGGACTACGAGGGCAAGGGCCGGCAGACCATCATCCAGGGCATTTTGGTGAGGGGAGAGCTTTTGCAGGGCAGCCATTCGCTAGGCCTCCCAGTGAGAGGGAGGACAACATGGGAGCACGTTTGCCTTCTGGTGGGAAGCGGGGTAGACATGAGCCCCTCAAGGAAGGGAGTGGATATGGCTTCTACTCTGGTGGAAACAGGTCATTTTAGAGACATCTTTTACTTCCCTCTTCTCACTTGATCCTTACAACAACCCCGGGGAGATAAGCAGGCAGGTGTCTCCGTTCCCTTTTGGCATTAGAAAAAGCAGGGTTCAAAGAGGTTAAGAGATTTGCCTGAAGTTACACAGCTGGGAAATAGCACTGGGACCAAGTCTAGAAGCCCTTCCAACTCAGAGATGGCACCTCCATTCTGGGATCATTGAGGTGACCAACCATCCCTGTTAGCCCTGGACGTGCCACAAACCAGCAAATCCCTTTGTCTTGGACAAGCTGGAACAGTCAGTCACCTTGGATGAGGTGTGTGGGTAGCAAGGGCTGTTACCAGGCTTGCTTGGGGCAGGTCTGTCCTCTCGGTCTTCCCAAAGCTGGTGGCTAGAGTTGGGCTAAGAATGTCCTCCTGCAGACAGAGTTTAGGGCCCAACTCCAATTCAGTCCAAAATAGTTCCATCATCCACTGTATGCCTGAGCCTGTGGGGGATGTGGTTCCTGCCCTCAAGGGGTTTGAGCAGAGTGGACGGGGTGAGTCCATAAATCACCAGTCGGTGGATAATAGCCAGAGAGGTGGAGCGTGAAAGGAGAGCCTGTGTCTGGTTAGAAGATCCCAGAAGCTCTTCAGAGAGATACTCTGTGAAGGATGTTTGGGATTTTGACAAGCAAAGATCTCAAGAGCCAGAGGAGACAGGAGTAAATCGTGGCGTTAGACAGCTGTGGAATGAAGTGGGGAGTGCAAATAATGAAATTTGGATGGGAAGCCGAGGGGCTCTCCAGGACAGAGGGAGAATTCCCTTCTCCTCTCATGCTGACCATTCGTACCCGCCCGTCTCAGATTGAGCATCTGTATGGCCTGACCGTGTTTGAGAATTATCTCTATGCCACCAACTCGGACAATGCCAATGCCCAGCAGAAGACAAGCGTGATCCGAGTGAATCGATTCAACAGCACTGACTACCAGGTCGTCACCCGTGTGGACAAAGGAGGTGCCCTCCATATCTACCACCAGCGGCGTCAGCCCCGAGGTGAGTGGGGCCCCGCAGCCCCTGCATGGACCCTCCTGTGGGAGTGCCCGGTTCTCTCATATCATGACTGCTTCTTATAGCAATCCATCCCGGACTAGCTCCCCTGGCCCCCCAGCTTCCCCTGCCAGCCCCTTCCTGCCCCTCAGCCTCTAGATCCCACCTCCATGGAGCCCCTGCACCCAGTTCTGCTCAGGACATATGTTGCTCCTCCCAGTTCCCTGGCTGCTTCAGAGTAGAAGCACCTGACCACAGGCAGTGGTGTGACTCTCTCCCCTGGCCACAGAAACGGCCACCTGCAAGTCTGAAGGCAGAGAAATCCCAGTCCTGTGGTTTCTAAAGCTTCAAATGGGACAACAGGCTTAAAGACCACAGCAGGAAGGAGTGTGGTCAGACCTCAGGAAGCCTTCTCAAGGCCTGGGCATGGGGGCTCTGGAGGGGCCTGACTACTCTCCCCTGCCTGCAGTGAGGAGCCACGCCTGTGAGAATGACCAGTTCGGGAAGCCAGGCGGCTGCTCCGACATCTGCCTGCTAGCCAACAGCCACAAGGCACGGACCTGCCGCTGCCGCTCCGGCTTCAGCCTGGGCAGTGATGGGAAGTCATGCAAGAGTGAGTGACCGCGGCGGGGCAGGGGGGGGGGGTGTGTGTGCCTGCTGGGATGGGGTGGGACATGTCCTTGTCTGCCTCCCCACAGCCTGGCCGTTTCTGTCTGAGATGCAGAGAAATGAAGGGATTTACCCATTTCGCCTCTAGTGGGGGGCTGAGACGGAATTTGAACCCACATCCAAGAGCAAGGCTTTTCCCATTACCCTCCTCGGGCTCCATAGAAGTCTGTCAACTGGCCCATTCAATGCATTCATTCATTCATTCACTCAACAAATACCTCATAAGCACGGGCTATGTGTCTGGTGCTGTCCTGGCCATGAGGATTCGGCAATGACAAGATAGATGTCGTCTCTGCCTTACGGAGTTTATAGTCTGGCAGGGGAGACAGACGAGTAAAAGTAACTCCGGGTGGTACCTGGTGTTAGGAAGAAAACAGAGTGGAGCACAGGCCTGCTGATGGCAGTGAGGGCCCCAGCTGGGGTGGAGTGATCAGGGAGGGTTCTCTGTGGAGCAGGGATTTGAGCCAAGTTCTCTATGAAGGGAGGAGTCGAGTCATGTGACCACCTGAAGGCAGAGGGGATCAACAGTGCCAGGCTTCAAGGCTGAGAAGGGCACAACATGAATGAGGGGAGACAGGAAGGAGAGGTTGGATGGGATTCGAAATGGGACGAGGAGCTCTTGGTGACTTTCCAGTAGAGAAGTGACGTGATGTGCTTCACATTTGTCAAAAGATCATGCTGGCTGGCCACTGGGTAGAGGATGGACAGCAGGGGAGTGGCAGGAGGTTCCTTCTGTGGTGTAAGCAAGGGGTGATGTGGCTTAGATAAGGATGATAGCAGTAGAAGTGATCCAGCGTGATCAGAATCCAGCATTTTACCACTGAGCAGTGAGCACCTAACTGAAAACCTGCTACTTGCTACTCTTGCCCCATCTCCTACCCTTAGAGTGGCATAGGCAGACCCCCCCCCCAGGGTGCTGTCCCTGGCCTTTACATGTTTATGGATCTGTCCATGTGACCCCAACCTCCTGCCATACCCATATCCCCTGACCCAGGAGAGCTGGGGCATTGCAACCTCTTGGGCCGTGGCCCTGGAGGCAGGGTGGTAGTGTGTGTGTGTGTGTGTGTGTGTGTGTGTGTGTGTGTGTGTGCGCGCGCGCGCACACGTGCCTGACTTTGTGCCCCTCCTTTTGCCTGCCCTAGAACCAGAACACGAGCTGTTCCTTGTGTATGGCAAGGGCCGGCCAGGCATTATCCGGGGCATGGATATGGGGGCCAAGGTCCCGGACGAACACATGATCCCTATCGAGAACCTCATGAACCCCCGGGCCTTGGACTTCCATGCTGAGACTGGCTTCATCTACTTTGCCGACACCACCAGCTACCTCATTGGCCGCCAGAAGATCGACGGCACCGAGCGGGAGACCATCCTGAAGGACGGTAAGTGCCCCCAAAGTGAGGGCTGTGCAGATGGGACTCCCGAGGGACACCCACCTGGGAAAGGAAGCCACGTGAGGCCTGTGCATCGCCTTCTCAGCGCCCTGTCAGCATGGAGAGTTCCCTGCTGACTGGCTGGCTGGGCCGGTTGGCATGGAGATGAAGGGATAGACAGATTGACCCCTGTGTGACCCCCTTCTTGGCTGAGCCGGAAAGAGGCAGGAGGATGGATGGGTTAGGCAGCGTGGGCCGTCCTTGCCAACCCTTGGGAAAACTCGGAGTCTCTCTGCCGTTGGCTCTGAGCTCCGGAGCTGCACACGGGACACAGCCCAGGAGAGGCCTGAGGCCTTGAATAGAGCAGCTCTGCCAGCACCTGGGTGCCCATAGAGGTCCTGCACAGCCCTCACGGTCACCAAAGCTGCTTGCTTTACTTGTCCTGTGAAGAATATGTTTTGGGACCTGAACCCAGTTTTTCCCTCTGAGCTGCTTGGGCAGGACAACACTACATTGTCTCCTCGATTTCCATCTGCCTCTGAGCTCCTGAGTTCTGCCCTTTTCCTGCTGGGTGTCAGGAATTCCCAAACCTGCACTTGGGCCCCCAGGACAGAGCTCTCTACCCAGTGAATCTGGCTGACGCCCAGTTACTGCTCCCCACCCCACCCCCAGTCCTGCTCATTGAACCTCAGCAGTCAGCAATCATAAGACTTTGGGGAAATCAAAAGTAACTCATCAGGAAAAGATTGGGGTTCCCTATACCAGGGGAGCTGCTATGTAAACTTGAGAGGAACACTTTGGCTAAGTGAAAAATCACTTCCTAATTTATTCATTTTGTTAGCTCAGGACTTTTGGGCCTGGGATGTTGTGTCACACTTGTGCCCAGAGCCACACGCACATTGCTTCAGCTCACCCTAGCTCGGGCTCAGACAGGCCCTCATAGGACAGCTTGCATCTGCCACATAGGTTCACGGGCTGCTGGCCGCAGTTTTGAGAGCCCCGGGGCCTCAACGCAGTCTCCTCAGCTCATTTTCCAACGCCCCACCCCAGCGCACCCACCATCTCGGGCACAGGGTGCTCCCCGCACGGCCTGGGCATCGGGTTGCTCAGAGGCAGGCAGTGTTGAGGTTCCTCTGAGGCTCTCCGTCATGGCCCCCTTCACTCCCTGCAGGTATCCACAATGTGGAGGGGGTAGCTGTGGACTGGATGGGGGACAATTTGTATTGGACGGATGATGGACCCAAGAAGACCATCAGTGTGGCCAGGCTGGAGAAGGCTGCTCAGACCCGAAAGACTTTAATCGAGGGGAAAATGACACACCCCAGGGCCATTGTGGTGGATCCACTCAATGGGTGAGTCTTCCCAGGGCCCGGGGGTAGGAGGAGTCAGGAACTGTGTGGGTCTCAGAACTGGGAGGTGAGACAAGAAGTGTACAGGGGAGAGCAACCTAAAGTGGGGTGCTGAGGCAGGAATCAGAGGCTGAATGGGGGAAAGGTGCCCCATCTTCAGGACAATGAGAGTGATGCCTTGGTCACATACAGAGAGATCTGGTCCTGTCACTCCCAACTTGGGGCCCCCTGCGGGCTACCCTTGCCCTTGGAGTGAGAACCACATTCCTTATCAGGCCTGGGCTCCCACAGGATCTGCCTGCATCCCCTCAACCTCATCTGCACCTCTCTGCTACCCTTGGAAACTCTGTCCCCACCACTCGCTGTCTGTTCCTCAGACCCCCCAGCTCTTCCTGCCTCAAGGCTTTTGCTCGGGGAGTTGCTTTGCCTGGAGCTCCCAGACATTTGCAGATCTAGCCCCTTGTCCACATTCACACCTAGGCTCAAATGCTGCCTCCTCAGGGAGGCCTTCCCCAGCTGCTGCCCAGTCCACTCTCTATACTGTCGCCCTGCTTCGTGTCCTTCCTGGTTTTTCTCGATCTCCAATGTGTGTCACCTTCCAGTTGACCTGTTTCTTGTCTGTACCCCTGGGTGGGATGTGATCTCCAGGAGAGTAGGGGCCTTGTCTGCCTGGGTCTCCACTGGGTCCCCGAGTGCCAGAACTATGCCCAGCTCACCGTAGGCACTCGACAAACACTGGCTGAGTGGAGGAATGAACGAAATGCGGGGGCGAGGGTGGAGGAGGCAGGAAGCCCCTGGGGGGGAGCTCTGGTACAGCACACGTGGATCGGGATCACACAGCAGGCTGCGGAAGGCAGCGGTGGCCCATGGGTGCTGACCAGTCCCTGCCCACAGGTGGATGTATTGGACAGACTGGGAGGAGGACCCAAAGGACAGTCGGCGAGGGCGGCTGGAGAGGGCCTGGATGGATGGCTCACACCGAGACATCTTCGTCACCTCCAAGACAGTGCTTTGGCCCAATGGGCTGAGCCTGGACATCCCAGCAGGGCGCCTCTACTGGGTGGATGCCTTCTATGACCGCATCGAGACCATACTGCTCAATGGCACAGACCGGAAGGTGGGCAGGCACGCACCTGTGTGGGGGTGTTCTTGTGTGCTTTGCTAGGTCACGTTTGTGTGTGGATGGGGCTTTTTTTTTTTTTTTAAGATTTTATTTATTTGAGAGAGAGAAGAGAACAAGCAGAGGTGGGGGCAGAGAAAGGGAGAAGCAGACATCCTGCTGAGCAGGGAGCCCCACGTGGGACTCAATCCCAGGACCCCGGGATCATGACCTGAGCTGAAGGCAGACGCTTAACCGACTGAGCCACCCAGGCGCCCCTGGACGGGGCTTTTTGTGTGTGAATGTGTGGGCATCTCTGGATCTAGGCCCGTGTGCTTCATGCATGTCCACCTCTGTCCCTGTGGACGTGCGCCTCTCTATGCTGTGTGTGTGACGTGTCCTATTGCCTGAGGATCGCTTCTCCGAGAGCGTGTCTGGGACTGCATGCTGTCTGCGGGCTTGACCACCCATGTGCGTACCTGAGCGGACCACTCGTGTGCATCTCTGCACGTTTGTGCACACACACACAGCACACTTTGGTGTGCGCCTGCTGTGTTTGCCTCTGTGCAAGTGCAGGACTCCTAGAGACGGCATCGACACGCACTTTTTCACTGGGTTGGCCATATGCTTCGGGAGTCATGTGCGTATCTAGGCATGTGGACTGAGCCTTTTCCCGGTATAGAAGGCCCTTGATGATCTGGCCCCTGCCTCTCTCTGTGGTCTTATTTCTCCCCCTGTTCCCTGTACCCTGACATTTGAGCAAGTGACACAAGACAGCTTGGAATTCCCGGCACATAGTGTACAGGGTGCAGCGCCCCGTGCTGTCGCTGACACAGTTTCCCCATTCCTCCTCCCCTGTCCCGTGGCTCAGGAGGCGCCTTCTCCGGATGTTGTCTCCAGACCCTCTTCCAGCCTGGATTACCGTGTGTGCCCTCCATGAGACAATAGTGGCTTCAGGGCAGGGACAGTGTCTTTTTCATGCCATAGCTTGACCCTTAATAGACCTGGCAAATGTTTGTTAAGTGAAGAAATGAACGGATGAATTCTGGCTGTCTGCTCAGTACTCTGCGTGTGTGCGGACGCATATACCCATGTTGGAGGGGTATGAATGCATATGAATGGATCCAAGGGAGGACAGTGTGGACAAGTTCCCCATCAGCCTCCTGCTGGGTCCAGGGTCTGGCACCTCAGTGTGTGCAAAGCTGTCACCCTCAGGGGCTCCTAGGCTAAGGGGGGAAACAAGACCCACACCCAGGACATGGACACGTGAATGAACAAAACAGTAATCCCCCCAGGCCTCCCTCAGGCACCCCATTTCTCCTCAGCTCCTCAGTAACTTCCCCTCCATTCTTAGATTGTATATGAGGGTCCTGAGCTGAACCACGCCTTCGGCCTGTGTCACCACGGCAACTACCTCTTCTGGACCGAGTACCGGAGTGGCAGTGTTTACCGCTTAGAGCGGGGCACAGGCGGCGCCCCCCCCACCGTGACCCTTCTGCGCAGCGAGCGGCCCCCCATCTTTGAGATTCGCATGTATGATGCCCAGCAGCAGCAAGGTACCCCCTGGGGCTGGGGCCAGTGAATGGGGGGGACCTGGATGGGGAGTGAGGCTACTCGGGGAGTGGGGTGAAGGCACTCACCAGGGAACCTAGCTCTGAGTTTTGAGGTCCTGGAGAAGAGCGTTTGACTCTGTCTTCCCCGTCTCCCTCCCTGTCCCGTGCCTCCGTGTTCTCTCCAACATGCTTATTGCCCTGTCGTCACCGCCTCCCTTTCTGACTCCTCACTCGAACGTGACTTTTCCGTGTCTTCGCCGGCCCTTCCCTCGGCCCTGCCTTTGCAGTGGGCACCAACAAATGTCGCGTGAACAACGGCGGCTGCAGCAGCCTGTGCCTGGCCACCCCTGGGAGCCGACAGTGCGCGTGCGCTGAGGACCAGGTGTTGGACACAGACGGCGTCACCTGCTTGGGTACGAGGTGCCCAGCCAGGGTGGGAGGCCTGGGAGCAGGCCTCAGCGGGAGGGGGCCCTGTGGGGGCAACAGGAGGCAAGGGTTGTGGTGAGAGAAGGCCCTGGGGGGCAGGAGGGGGTTCGGGGAGGACGGGGGATAGGAGGAATTTGGGAGAGCACAAAGATTAGGGGAAACTGAGTGATGACCAGGACAGCTTTGGGAAGAGGAACACATCCTTTTACATTTGTCTCCCCTGGATCAAATTAATATAACAACAGTTTTAAATACTGGAAATTAGAGAGGGGAAAAAAAGCCCAAATCCCACCAACAGAACCCAGTGTATTGTTAGCAGTGTGGGGAGGGAACACCATCTCTTTAGTTAGGACCAGCTGGGTTACATGGTTGGGTTTAGGTAGCTGAGATCATACCGCACATAAAATGTCTTCCACCCTCTTGGGCTCATATATGTCACAGCGTTTTCTGTGTTATTGTTACATTTTTTTTAAATAGGCTCTTTTTAGATAAAAGTAGGTCATGCTCGTTGCAAAAAAATAAATAAATGAACAGTATAGAAAAACATAAAGAGAAAGTACAAGCCACCCCAAATACCACCATCCATGGATGTCACTGTTACCATTTGGGGGGGGACACCCTCCGAAGCAGTTCTCTACGTGTTTACCTTTCCTTAAACGGAATCGCGCTCCACCTGCTATTCTGTTTTCTGCTTTTTGTCACTCAACAGTAGGTCATAGATAACGTCAGCAGAATTTTTAATGACTGAAATATATTTTATTCGTCAATGTTCCTTAATTTTCTCAACGATTTCTCTCTACTGCAGGATGTTTAGGTTGTTTCTCTCTTTTGTTATAGTCACAGCTAACATCGATTTCTTGAGCACAGACAGGAGCTAAGAATTATAAGCACTTCCCACGCAGTCACTTGTTTACTCCTTAAGATATTCCTGTAGGGAACGTATATTTTATTATCCCCAGTATACAGATGAAGAAATTGAGGCCCAAAGTCCAAATAGGGATTTGAACCCAGGAAATCTGGCCCGGAGCCTGTTTTTTTCATCACTTGCCCTATTTCCCACATCTTCCTGCCTTCCCATATTCTGGATTGTTACCCTAAGATAGAATCCCAGAAATGAAAATGGGTCAACGGGGCCTTAGCAGACAGCTAAGAAGGAGTGACTGAGGCCAGGTGGAAGGCAAGAGCATTGGCAGAGAGGGAAACCGAGGGGCCAGGGTGATGGAAGGATCCACACGGACATTGAAATCCTCGAGAATTAGAGCAGGAGAGAATTGGGGAAAAGTGACACCAAGCCAGGAGCTAAAAACCCTTAAGATGCCAGGGAGTGGCCTGGGGGACCGTAGAAGTAGGGCTTGGTGTAGTCTAATAGCATGAAAGTCAGCGCTGATTTTTCAGGAAGGAGAGAATGGTCGGGAAGCAGTAGCGAGGAGCAAGGTGACACATACCAAGGCCCAGTGGTCCAGGGCCGCAAGAGAGACAGTGGGCACCCACGGGATGCACAGAACTTTCAGGGATTGGAGCGGGGATGAGAGATGGCTGGGTCAGAACGGCATCCAGCAGAGCTCAGGGTGCAGGGACAGGGGCTGACATGGGAGTGCTGGGCTTCTTAACGTTACCCATGCAAACACAGGCCAAGGACATAGTGATTTTACTGCTGAGAGCTCAAGGCAGACAGGGGTGGTGAGGTAGGAGTGTCGAGGGACAAGAGGGTGCAGCCTGCAGAGTTCTGGGGCCTGTGTTCACTCCTTCCGGTGGAGCTGATGCATCTGTGAAGGAAAAAGCCCAGGGACCAGGACAGGGTCCTGGGGGTCCCAGAGGTGACCTCCAAGAGGCAGTTTGTGGAGGAAGCGGGTGAGGAGTGGTCTTCTCAGTAGGGACAAAAGTAACGGGGCGGGAGGGTGGGGCTCCAAGCTCTCTCGGAAGCAGCCGGTCTCAGGTCATACTGAAGTACTGAAAGTATTCAAGTAAACATCACCCTTGTGGCTTGAGAAAGAGCTGCGCTTTCCATCCAGATTATTTGTTCGTGAAGAATTACGCCCTAGGAAAAATGACTCCCAGGGTATTATTTAAAATAATACGACAGGCAAGCATAGTGCCGAGAGGGGAGCCCCTGCCCCGTGACCTGGGTCTGACTTTCCCCCCACACCCCTGTGGTGCCCGCAGCGAACCCATCCTACGTGCCCCCACCCCAGTGCCAGCCCGGCGAGTTCGCCTGCGCCAACAGCCGCTGCATCCAGGAGCGCTGGAAGTGTGACGGGGACAATGACTGCTTGGACAACAGCGATGAGGCCCCGGCCCTCTGCCGTGAGTCCTCGACCCCCCTCCCCGGGGTGGTGGGGGGCGGGGCAACGGCAGGCCTGCAGGGCAGCACGTGAAGTGGTGGGGGGCGGGGCACGGCAGGCCTGCAGGGCAGCACGTGAGTGACCTGGGCCCCGCCCTCTCACTGACCCCCCCCCACACACCTGTTCGCTCCCCAGACCAGCACACCTGCCCCTCGGACCGCTTCAAGTGTGAGAACAACCGGTGCATCCCCAACCGCTGGCTCTGTGACGGAGACAACGACTGTGGGAACAGTGAAGACGAGTCCAACGCCACTTGCTCAGGTGTGGGGTCAGGGTAGACCGCACAGGGTGCCCCGCAGGCGGGGAGCGGGAGGTGGGGGGCCGGGGCGGGGGTGGGGGGGTGGGGGGAGCAGCCAGGCTTGGGAAGACAGAGAGTCCTCGGGAAAGAAAGGAGCGCGGGGTATTAGGGCTGAGAGCATGGGGCTGCGAGGGGGAGAGGAGTGCTCTCCCTGTGCCCAGAAGAACGGGGTTGGCTCTGAGGACTGAGCTTTCAGGGAACAGAGCGTGGCTGCAGATTGGATACAGGAGCAAGGAGGGTGGATCTTCTCCTTGGAGGACACCAGAGAGATGGGGTGTCAGACCACATGGCTGTTGGTGGTTGTTTTTTTTAAGAGATTTATTAATTGACTTACTTATTTGAGAGAGAGAGAGAGCAAGTGCGAGCAGGTGGAGGGGCAGAGGGAGAGGGAGAGGGAAGGAGAGAATCCCAAGTGGACTCCGTGCTGAGCACAGAGCCCAACGTGGGGCTCGATCCCACGACCCTGAGACCACGACCTGAGCCAAAACCAAGAGTCGGATGCTTAACCGACTGAGCCATCCAGGCGCCCCACACATAGATGGCTTTGAGCTTCTCTAAGAGAAATGGCTTTGAGACCCTTGGGAAGACTTCCCGATCGGCAGAGGGCAGTAGGAAAGAACAGGAAGCTGAGAGGGGGGCAGGGCTATGAACACTCGCGCCTGTCCCTGTCCCCAGCTCGCACCTGCCCACCCAACCAGTTCTCCTGTGCCAGTGGCCGCTGCATTCCCATCTCCTGGACGTGTGATCTGGACGATGACTGTGGGGACCGCTCCGACGAGTCCGCCTCGTGTGGTAGGAGGGGCAGCAGGGAGGCGAGACTGGCACAGGGGAGGGGGAGCCCGGGAGAACGTGCCCTGGGGCAGGGGTGCTGGAGGGCCCCTGAACCTCAGTCCACGGGTGGCCATGAGCAAGTTACTTCATCTCTGTGGCCTCTGTGAGTTTTGCCTGCAAAATGGGGGATAATATCAGAGCCCTGATGTGGGGATTCAGTGAGATCCTGCATGAAAAGCACTCAGCACGGGGTGGGTGGTTGGTAGCTAGAAGCTTGAGAAAGGGGTGCTCAGAGGGATGGGGATGAATGAGCAGAGCTTCAGGCTGAGCCCCCGCCACTTAGCTTTCCCACCCCTGACTGGCCGGGCTATGGCTGCTGGTTCCATGAGGGACCCCGCACCCACCTTCCTGGGGCTGTGATGCTGTATAATCTTGAGGGCCCTACTCAGCTGTTCTTTCTCTCTGACAGCCTATCCCACCTGCTTCCCTCTGACTCAGTTTACCTGCAACAATGGCAGATGCATCAACATCAACTGGCGATGTGACAATGGTAAGAGCTTGCCCCCCTTAACCTGCCCCGATTCCTAGGAAAGCTAGAAGCTACAGCCAGGTCCTGGATGGGAGGTAAAGGGGTTTTAGAATCAAGCCGGGGCCTCGTTCCAATTCACTGAAGCCCCACTCGGTCGGCTGGGAGCAATGAGGACAAGCCAGAAAGGCCATGGGGGAAACCAGTATGGACTGAGCGGAGACCCTCCTGGTCGCCCATCAGCACCATTCCTCCCCAGAAGGAGCCTGAGCGGCCCATTCTCTGGCAGAGGCTTGGGGGCCAGGGAGAAATGAGTGAGAAAGGCTAGAGGGAAAGAGCAAGGGGAGCCCAGTGCCCAACTCTCTTCCCCCTGCAAACCCCAGCTCCTGGGGTCCTTGGTGCACCCTCCAGGCTCTGGCTTCAGGCTCGGGAGCCCACCTGGCGGTCAGCCACGGACCACGGGATGTCAGCCCCGAGCCATGGGGGCCAGTGGATCGTCATGTGTGTGCCGTCTGGTGGCTCTGGTCGTGTCTGTGTGTGACGTGTTGTACCAGTGGCTCCAGCCCTGGCTAACGTGTGAGAGGATGTATTGGGTCAACGCCATGTTGCTCCTCATCTTTGCTGTGTCTCGTGTGCCAATGGTTGCCCTGGCGGTTTCTGTGTTTCAGAGAAGGATTGTGGGGACGGCTCTGACGAAAAGACCTGTCCTGAGCCTGCCGGTCAGTGCATAGAAGCACATGCACCATCACCCCAGAGCCCCAGCCGGCCTTGGGCCGCCTTTCAGGACCCCCAGGCAGCTCCCCTCTCCAGAGAGCTCCTAGGATGTGAAGGGAAAGACAGAAGGGAGAGAGGAGCTGCCAGGCAGAGAAAGACAGTGGACGGGCAAGAAGCAGAGAGGGCCGAGGAGAGGGCAGAGGGGGGAACAAGAAGACCAAGACGCAGAAGGGAGGAGAGACAAGCAAATCCAGGTGGAAAAGAGGCAGGGACACACCCCAAGGGAGGAAGCCATGCCCCAGTTTTCTTAAGTGTCCTGAAAATGTGGAGGGAAGTCCGGTAACCCCCACCCACAAGGCCTCGAAAGCAGGACATTCATTCAGTTGCCCTCAGATGCCTTCCAGAAGTGGCCCCCGACCCTTCCCAACTGCAGACCATACCCCCGTGAGCCGGGCGCCCAGAGCCTGGGGCCCCCCAGAGGGGGGCCTGATGAGGCCCTTCCCTCCCCAGCAGGACACCTCACCTACACTCCAGCCACCTCACTCCCTCCCAAGCCAGAGAAATCTCTGCCTTTCCCCCAAAGCAAGCTGACCCCTGTTCCCACGCCCTGCCGAGAGGGAAAGGAACGCGTCTAGTCCCCAGCCCGCCGCCCTCCGAGACAGGGAAGGGCTGTCGCGGCCCCCCCCCCCGCCTCTCCTCGCCCCTCCTGCGTGGGCCATGGTGCATGCTGCAGTCTATGCAGTTTCTGTGTCTTTTCTGTTTGTTATTTTCTCAGTGGGGGGGTGGGGTGGGCTGAGGTGGGAATGGGGAGGTGGGCGTGGGGGCCCCAAGCTGGGGTCACAGAGAAGGCCGCTTGCTGACCTGCTCCTCGCTTCTGCCGTTCTTGCCTCCCCCCAGACAATGACTGCGGGGACAACAGCGATGAGGCCGGTTGCAGCCACTCCTGCTCCAGCACTCAGTTCAAGTGTAACAGCGGGCGCTGCATCCCCGAGCACTGGACCTGTGACGGCGACAACGACTGCGGGGACTATAGTGACGAGACCCACGCCAACTGCACCAACCAGGGTGGGTGTCCGGGGGCCGCAGGCCCGGCAGGACGGCCCGTGCCAGTCACTCAGCCGCCCCTCCGCCCCTCCCCCTGTCGTGTGCCGCTGCCATCTGGGAAACGAGATAACCCAGACACGGCTCCTATCCTCAGGAGTTGCCTGCCGTGAGGGAGGGAGGGACATTGTCAGCGAACTCTCGTCACACGCTGTGAAGGTTACGGGCTTTGCGGTTGGGTGGCCTTGGGTTTGTGCTCCAGCTCCGCAACTTACTGTCTGGGTGGCCTTGAGCAGGTTACTTCATCTCTGTGGGCCTCTGTGAGTGTCATCTGCAAAGTGGGGATAATAATAGCGCCCACATCACAGCGCTGATGTGGGGGTTCAGTGAGATCATGCACAAAAAGCGTTCAGTGCACAGCCTGTGCTCGAGGGCTGGGAGCTTGGAAAAGGATGCTCGGGTGGGGGAGTGCGGATGAATGAGCACAGTGGGGACCAAAGGAGAGAGGCACTGGCTCTGTGAGGGTCCTCAGGGCCCAAGCCTCCAGCGCCCAGCCAGGGGGCAGTGGGCACTGAGTTTACTGGAAGGCACAGACTTGGCTCTGGCCGATTGTTTCCATGGAAGACTGCAGACCCAGGGTTGCCCAGGCTTTAAGAGAAGTCAGAAAAGCAGGTTTTTATGTGAAACCTACCCACTTCTAAACAACTGGTGTATTAGCTTCCTATGCCTGCCACAACAAAGCACACAAACTGAGTGGCTTAAACAGCAGATATTTATCGTCTCAGTTCTAGAAACTCGAAACCCAAGTCCAAAATGTTGGCAGGGTTGGTTCCTTCTGAGAGCTGTGAGGGAGAATCTGCCCAGGGCTCCCTCCTAGCTTGTGATGTTTGCAGGCAATCTTCGGGACTCCTTGGCTTGTATATGCTTCACCCCAATCTCTGCCTCCATCTTCCCATGGTGTTCTCCCTATGTGTGCCTGTCTCTGTGTCTGGATTTCCTCTTTCCACCCCAATGACCTCATCTTAACTCGATCATTTGCAAAGACCTATTTCCAAAGAAGACCACGGTCACAGGTACTATAAGTTAGGACATCAGCATATTTTTAGGGAACACAAATCAGCCCAGAACAACTGGCAATGGATTTTAAAAGAAGTTTTAAAAATACTGCAGGCCAAAATCTTTCCGCAGGCCTTATCTGGCCCCTGGACCTCCAGCTTACAACCTGTGCCTTGTAGAGTGAAGGTGCATCCAGTGAGAGCAGTATGATTGCACGAGCTCCCGCCAGGGGCCCAGGACTGAGAGGGAGGGCGGGGATGGTCACCTGAGGCCCAGGAAACAGTCGCTGAGTCTCAAGGGCCATCTCAGAAGTGCTGGGCGAGTGGGACAGGTAAGAGTGCCTTGAGATTCTCAGAAGGGGGTCCCGAGGCCTGTGGTATGGCAGGAAAAACATTCTGCCCCTCACTACAAGCTGGGTGAACTGGGACAAGCCATTTCTTCTGAGCCTTGGCTTCCTCCTCCATGAAAGGAGAGGGGATGTAAGGGACCTGGCCTGTGGGAGCAGGCATATCATAAGTGGTAGCGACTGTTAACGGTGGTGGTGAGCTAAAGTGGTCTGGGGCCATTTAGGAAGAGGTGGGGTCTGAACAGGGCCCTGATGAGGGATACGACTGTGGCCAAAGGGACAGGAGGGCGGGTCCTCAGATGGGAGGTGGGTAGGGGTGGAGAACCCAGCAGCAAGATGTAGAGGGTGAAACCGAGCACTTTTGCCTCTGCCTTTTGGGGCCCATCAGGCTGGAGGGGCCAGCGGGGAATGAGGCTGTGCCCAACGGGGGCAGATGACATCAGCAGGTGAAAGTCAGGCACTGGAGCCTCTGAAAGACTTTGAAGCTGGAAGGTGATAAGATGGAGGAGGTGCTTTCAGAGGACAATCCTAGAAGGGGATCCAATTAGAAAGAGGTTCAGGGGCCCCCGAGGAAGGAAGCTCAGCTCGGAGGCCACTGCTGAGATGCAGGCATTGACCGATTGGCGGCGGGGTGGTGGGGGGTGGTGGGGAGCAGACAGCAGCATGAGAGGGAGGTGAGGCTCCTGCACCGTCACCAGTGGGTGCCTCCGGGTGCCGCTCCTGCTGCTTCCCGGCCTCCTGAGTCAGATCTCGGTGCAGCACATGAGTCACATCACTCCCCAGCCCTGCCCTCCAGCCTGCAGGGCTCCCACCGCCTCGCTGACCTGTGTTCCTGTGCTCATTTCCTCCTTCACTCTACTCCAGCCGCGCGGCCTCAAATACACTTTGGGCATTTTACGTATATGCCCTGCATGGTCCTGTCTCTGAGACTTTGCACCTGCCGTTCCCTCTGCTTGAGCTGCACCTCCTGGGATTCTCATGGCTCACGTCATTCAGGCCTCTGTTCAAACATCTCCTGCTTGGAGGCTTTCCTTGGTCATCTTACCCGGTGGCATCCCCACCCCTCTCTCTCACCTTGACCCAGCTTCGTCTCCATGGCTTTGATCACTCCCTGCTAGACCTTGAGCTCCGTCAGCGTGAAGATTTTGTCTTGCTCACACTGGCACTTGGAACAGTGCCCGGCACACCAGAGGCACTCAATAAGTGTTTGTGGAGTTCCTGGGTCAAACGGAGGCTGGGCGAAGGGGAGGGGGGGGCGTGCTATGAGCTCTGGCCTAGCAAATTGCTTAGCCAATAGATCACCGGTGTGTAAAATAGAGATTATTGACTAGCCAGCTGCTTGCTGGGGTTCTGGGAGGGGTGACCTTCCTGACTCCAAGTTAGCTTCTGAGAAGGGTCAGCAGGGCTCAGAGAACTCTCCATCCCTGCCTCAGCTCATAGCTCTGGACTAGGCAGAATAGGAGGGGGGTTGGGAAGGCAGACATGGGAATGGCTGACCTGGAGCCCCTCCCCCCCATGCCCTCCCTCTGTCCCCTGCAGCCACGAGGCCTCCTGGCGGCTGCCACAATGATGAGTTCCAGTGCCGGCTGGATAGTCTGTGCATCCCCCTACGGTGGCGCTGTGATGGAGACACTGACTGCATGGACTCCAGTGATGAAAAGAGCTGTGAGGGAGTGACCCACGTCTGTGACCCCAACGTCAAGTTTGGCTGCAAGGACTCTGGTAAAAAGAAGGATGGGTGGGAGCCTGGACTGGGGCAATATGGACAGGAGGAGACCATACTGAGAGCCGGGGAGTGGCAAGGGAGACAGTGCTATGCTGGGAGGGGTGGGGGGAAGGAACACTGTGAGGCAAAGGGCGCAAACAGAATTTTGTGCATGATGCCTGGGGGAAGTAGTGAAGGGGCCAGGGTCTGCACTAAGGGCCCTGGGAACCAAAACTGTCACCACCAGAGTTGAGCTTCAGTACCCTCTGCAGATTCTTGCTTTCTCTGTTGCCTATATGAATCTGACAGAGAAGGCCTCAAGGTTCCTAGTGGACCCCAAGGCATTACAATCATGGCCCTATTAGAGAAGCCCACTGGGTCTGGGAAGAAGGGCATGGAGAGTCCTCCTGTCCCAGCCTGGCCCCTCATACCATACCCATCCCTCAGCTCGATGCATCAGCAAAGCATGGGTATGTGATGGCGACAGTGACTGTGAGGATAACTCAGATGAGGAGAACTGCGAGTCCCTGGCCTGCAGGCCACCCTCACACCCCTGCGCCAACAACACCTCAGTCTGCCTGCCCCTCGACAAGCTGTGTGATGGCAACGACGACTGTGGAGATGGCTCGGATGAGGGCGAGCTCTGCGGTGAGGCCCAGGCCTAGGAGAGGCCCCAGGACAGGAGTAGGGAGGGTGGCTGGGTGAGGCGTCTGGGCTGGGGCCAGCGCCGGTGGAGCAGGACAGGCTCTGTGGGGAGAGGTCTCAAAGCGGGAAAGCAGGCTGCTGGGCAGGACACCCCCAGAGCAGTTATCAACAACCCTTGTTGAGTTCAGACTCACCTGGGCAAGAGGCTATGCCGAGCCCGCCACACTATTATAGCATATTAATCCCTCAGACGGCCCTGTGAGGCCGATGGAATTATCATCTCCATCTTCCAGATGAGAAAACTGAGGCAGAGGGGTTAAATAACTGGACCAAGGTCACAGGGCTGCTAAAGTGTTGTGGAGAGAGCACAGTGCAACCCCTTCCTGCAGGCACGGCCCCTCGCCCACACCCAGCTGGCAGAACAGCGTGGAGCTGCTTTTAAAAATGAAGGCACCAGGGTTGCGGGTTGATATGGTCAGGGCAGGCTTCCCAGAGGAGGCAGGGATTTAACTGGGTTCCCGAGGACGGATGGTTAGATCTTGTACAGCGACGGGGGCGGGGGGGGGGGGCGGGGTTGGCGAGGAGGCTGTGCGTTCAAGGAGCAGAACAAATAGGGGTCAGGGAGGGCTGCGTGGTGTGACGTGGGGATGAGGAGGGGAGCAGACCGCCTGTCTCCTCTGCAGAGGCAGAGCATCTGTCGCTCGGGGAGAGGAGTGGGAGAGGAAGCAGGCTGGGGCTGGCCCGGAGAACGGCTGACAGCTCTCAGGGTGTGTCAGAGAACCCGGCAGGACATTCCCTACCACACCCCACCCCAATCACACCCAAATCAGGGGAGATCGAGGAAAGGGCAGCCCTCCGAGAGAGGCGAAAAGCCATGGGCTCAAGGAGGGGCAGGGAAACGGAGACCAGATGCTGCCATGATGTGGGGGTGCTCCTCCTGGTCCCAGTGGGGGGTGCTGGGTTCCCAACCCTGGCCCTGAGGGAGCCTGGGAAGTGGTGGGACAGAGGCTTGGCCAGAAATGGAAAAGAAGGATGCCACGGGCAGGGAGCTGGGGCTCTGTCTGGGCCGCCCAGGACTTGGGGCCCAGTCAGGCCGTGGTCCTGCCTCGTCCCGGCTCCTGACCCTGGTCCTGTCCCCTGCTGGCCACCCTGCAGACCAGTGCTCTCTAAATAACGGAGGCTGCAGCCACAACTGCTCAGTGGCACCTGGCGAAGGCATTGTGTGCTCATGCCCGCTGGGCATGGAGCTGGGGCCCGACAACCACACCTGCCAGATCCAGAGCTACTGTGCCAAGCACCTCAAGTGTAGCCAGAAGTGCGACCAGAACAAGTTCAGCGTGAAGTGCTCCTGCTACGAGGGCTGGGTGCTGGAGCCAGACGGCGAGAGCTGCCGCAGCCTAGGTGACATACGGGTGAAAGGTGGCGGGGAAGGCTGGGCAGGCTGAGGCAGGCCCCCGAGCTGCCGTTGGCTGGGTTTGGGCTGCCAGATGCCAAAGGCTGCGGTTTCCACCCATGACCAGGCCCCGGGCCAACAGAGACCCCACCTGCTCCTGGACAGGGTGGCTCTGAGGCAGCAAGCCCCATGCTGACCCCTATCTCCCACCCCTCTCAGACCCCTTCAAGCCATTCATCATCTTCTCCAACCGCCATGAGATCCGGCGCATCGACCTTCACAAAGGAGACTACAGCGTTCTGGTGCCTGGCCTGCGCAACACCATCGCCCTGGACTTCCACCTCAGTCAGAGCGCCCTCTACTGGACCGATGTGGTGGAGGACAAGATCTACCGCGGGAAGCTGCTGGACAACGGAGGTGACCGCCCCGCTCCTGCAGGCCTAGGACTGATGCGGGCGGCGCGCGCAGAGAAGGGGCACTTGGGTGCTCAGAGCTGCAGACCCAGATCCAGGCTGCCCGGAAGCCGAGGCCCTTAGCTCCCCCATCCCCCACATTCTCGTTAATTGGGTTAGATTTTGCTGTGGGTCTCAGTTCCTGACGCCCCGTAATTATCGTCAGCAGAGCCGCCAGCCTGATAATTAACAAAATGATCAGCCTTTCTTCGGAATGGCCTGGAGCTCCCCAAATCCTAGAACGGCAGGCTTAAAAGCAAAAGCCATTTAGGGATAGGGTACCTGAATCCTGCCTTCTGTCCAAAGGCAGCCTGACCCATCACAGACATCTGTCATTATAACACACATATTGAGCACCTGCCATACACACGGAGCCCTGGGGAGACAGCAGTGATCAAAACAGGCCAAAACGTCTGCCCTCATGGAGCTTACGCACCAGGGGAAACATCAGATATAAACAAAACAAACGGGTACAGCATGGAATATAGCAGAGGGGATAGTGCTGTGGATTTAAAGAAAGGAGGTGGAGTGGGGGGTAGGGAGAATGGGGGTTGACATTTTAAATTGGGTGGTCAAGGAAGGCCCCCTGAGAAGGCAACATCCGAGCAAAGACTTGAAAGAAAAGCATTTTACTAGAGGAGTTTGTATTGTTTCTAATAGAGAAAACTTGGAACCATCCCAAATGTTCATCAACAAGGGGATGGCTAAGTAAACTGTGATAATGTTCACACTATGCAACAGTTTTAAAAAATAATTATATATATAAATATACATATATTTCCATGGAAAAATATATTTAAAAATATATATATATATATACTTCCATGGATAAATCTTCAAGACAGTTTATGAAGTGACTTCTAGAAAGTTCTGTCCTCCTCAGATTGACTCTATGTCTGTCCCCCAAAGCCTCCACCCTCTGCTCTGACCTCTTTCCATCAGTTAGCCCTTCACAGAGCTGCAAGCAGAGGAAAGCTGTGACCTCCCCTTCTTCAGGGTTCTGGAAACTAGGCCTCTCCTCTCCTATTTGACCTCCTGGTGGGGTAGAGGGCCTGGGTGAGGAGAGTTGGGGGGGGAGTCTGTGAACCCCAGGTAAAGCCAGGGTGCATCAGAGATATTGGCAGTGTCAGGGTGGAGGGTGAGTCATCCAGGCTTCCTAGTCTACTGTGATCTCACACCCATGATCTTCTCTTTACTAGCCCTGACTAGCTTCGAGGTGGTGATTCAGTATGGCCTGGCCACCCCCGAGGGTCTGGCTGTAGACTGGATTGCAGGTAACATCTACTGGGTAGAGAGTAACCTGGACCAGATTGAGGTGGCCAAGCTAGATGGAACCCTTCGGACCACCCTCCTGGCTGGTGACATTGAGCACCCGAGGGCAATCGCGCTGGATCCACGGGATGGGTGAGGACCCTGCCCAGCCCTAATCTGGCCCCATGGTCCCCTCTGAAACCTCATTCAGCCAGGTCAGGGACACCTGTCTCTTCAAATGCTGTTCACCCCCTCTGCCCTTTACCCCTATAATAGCCCCGCTCCAGGCCCTCGAACTTGGCCGCCCTGACCCCCTCCCCATCCCCCAGGATCCTGTTTTGGACAGACTGGGATGCCAGCCTGCCCCGCATCGAGGCCGCCTCCATGAGTGGGGCTGGGCGCCGCACCATCCACCGGGAGACAGGCTCTGGGGGCTGGCCCAACGGGCTCACCGTGGACTACCTGGAGAAGCGTATCCTCTGGATCGATGCCAGGTCAGCGCCCCCCACCACGTCCCCAGAGGCCTCCATCCCCCACCCCCCCGCTTCCCCTCCAGGGACAGGGTGGGGTCGGGAGTCTCAGGACTTGGTAGTAAAAAGGCCTGGGCAGCTGGAGCCAGAACTGGGGCGGCCAAGGGCTGGGCCCGGTGGGAGGACTGAGGTGAGGGGCGAGTGAGGCTGGGCTGGGGGAAGAGGGATGGGAAGAAGAGGGTGGAAGCAGGACAGTCACCCTGCACGGGGATGGTGGGGGGGCTGGCCCAGGTGTGGGCGAGGCTGGAATGCAACCTCTCGTCCTCACTCACAAATCTGTGCACTCTGCTCAGGGGCTTTATCTGCCCAGGGGAAGGGGAAACTTCTTCTAATTGGTCTGCTCAGAGGGGGTGCCTTTTCCCAACCTCCTCAAAGCCCCGTGTGTGCCAACTGTGGCCCCATGGAGAAGTGAGCCAGGAGATTCAGGGCGTGGGAATGGGGATCTGAGAGCTGGGATCCTAGACGGCGAACCACTCTGGGTCTCTCCACGTTGTTGGCCTGGGAGGAAGGACTGCTCCAGTGTGCTCGGGTGTTGTTGGGGGGGGGGGCCGGGGGGCCAGGGCCAGGGCCTGGCCCCAGCCAGCATCCTCACTCTGCCCCGACCACGCTCTCAGGTCAGACGCCATTTACTCAGCCCGTTACGACGGCTCCGGCCACATGGAGGTGCTTCGGGGACACGAGTTCTTATCGCACCCGTTTGCAGTGACGCTGTATGGGGGGGAGGTGTACTGGACGGACTGGCGGACAAACACGCTGGCCAAGGCCAACAAGTGGACCGGCCACAATGTCACCGTGGTACAGAGGACCAATACCCAGCCCTTTGATCTGCAGGTGTACCACCCCTCCCGGCAGCCCATGGGTAAGGGGCCATAGAGGGGCCAGCAGCCTCTGCAGAAGCCCTCGGGAAAAGAGGGGGCCGTGAGAGCATGAGGGGCTGTGCCAAGATGGTGGGGATGGGCCAGCCGCGGGCGATGCTGCAACGGGGAGGAGGAGAGCGGGTGAGGAGGGGGTGGCCCAAGTGAGAAAGGTAGGGGCCAGCAAGTCACAGGACGCCCTCACTTCTCCTCTCCCCCAACCCCAGCTCCCAATCCTTGTGAGGCCAATGGGGGCCGGGGCCCCTGCTCCCACCTGTGTCTCATCAACTACAACCGGACCGTCTCCTGCGCCTGCCCCCACCTCATGAAGCTCCACAGGGACAACACCACCTGCTATGGTAGGAGACCCCTCCCTCAAGAGCCACTGGTGACCTGAAGCCGACAGGGAAGGGGTCGGGTACCCAGGCTCACGGCTGTAAGCGAAGGTAGACAGTCCCAGTCGGGGGAGTGGGGGGCTGCTGGGAGAGGCTCCAGAGAAGCCACTGTAAGAAGATGCAGGAACTCAGGCAGGGAGGTGATGCCCAACGGGGGCACTTCCTGAAAGCCAATGGCCAGCTGCAAATGGAAGGGACCAGAAGAAGGAGGGACCCTCATTTGGGTGGGTGGGAAGCATGAAGGTAGGGGGCTGCCCTCAGTGACCTGCCCCGTGCCCCACAGAGTTTAAGAAGTTCCTGCTGTACGCACGTCAGATGGAGATCCGGGGGGTGGACCTAGATGCCCCCTACTACAACTACATCATCTCCTTCACGGTGCCTGATATTGACAATGTCACGGTGCTGGACTATGATGCCCGCGAGCAGCGCGTCTACTGGTCCGACGTGAGGACACAGGCCATCAAACGGGCCTTCATCAACGGCACGGGCGTGGAGACTGTCGTCTCTGCAGGTTCTGCCCTCACCCTGGACCCCCGCAGTGGATGTGGGCGCCCCCCCCACCCAGGCCTTCCTCCCATCCCTGGTCCCCTTGTTCCTGATACTCCTTTTCCAAATCTTCCTCCTTCTCAGTGCTCCAACCCTGGGGTCCCGATCCCCATTGCCCCCCCAAACCAGGCCAATCCCCCACTTCCTCCAGCCTCCTGACCTATGCCCCACAAACACCCAACCTCCAACTCCCTGCTGTGCCCCCCCAGACTTGCCAAATGCCCACGGGCTGGCTGTGGACTGGGTGTCCCGAAACCTGTTCTGGACAAGCTACGACACTAACAAGAAGCAGATCAATGTGGCCCGGCTGGACGGCTCCTTCAAGAATGCGGTGGTGCAGGGCCTGGAGCAGCCCCATGGCCTGGTGGTCCACCCACTGCGTGGGTGAGTCCAGGGCCCAGGGTTGGGGAGTGTGGGGTGTGGGGCAGGAGCAGAGGGGTCTGACTTCACCTTCCTGCACCTTCCCAGGAAGCTCTACTGGACCGACGGGGACAACATCAGCATGGCCAACATGGACGGCAGCAACCGTACCCTGCTCTTCAGTGGCCAGAAGGGCCCTGTGGGTACGAGCTTGCCTTGCCTGCGCTACCGCTCTTCCCTAATTCCTCGGGGTCCCTCGATTGTCCCTCTGTCTCCCGAACTCCTAGCTTAGTGCGTGTCCTCACCATCCTCCCCCAAGACCACACATCCCTCAGCCCCCAGCCCAGGGGCCAGGCTTTCTGGCAGTGACACCCACCTCTTTCAGGCCTGGCTATCGACTTCCCTGAAAGCAAACTCTACTGGATCAGCTCTGGCAACCACACCATCAGCCGCTGCAACCTGGACGGAAGTGGGCTGGAGGTCATCGACACCATGCGGAGCCAGCTGGGCAAGGCCACTGCCCTGGCCATCATGGGTGAGGGCTGCTGGGTGGGGGCAGGGACGGGGACGGGCTGGGCTGGGCTGGGCTGGGCTGGGCTGGGCTGGGGGTGGGACCCTCCCCGGGGTCTCATCCCCTCCTGCCTACCCAGGGGACAAGCTGTGGTGGGCAGATCAGGTGTCAGAGAAGATGGGCACGTGCAACAAGGCTGACGGCTCGGAGTCCGTGGTCCTGCGGAACAGCACCACCCTGGTGATGCACATGAAGGTCTACGACGAGAGCATCCAGTTGGGTGAGACTGGGGCCAGGGCCACAGGCAGGGGCTGGGGTACAGAGAGGAATCCCTGGGCAAGGAGGTGAATGGGAATGAGCACGGGTTAGACTCTGCTCAGCACCCAAAGGGGCTCCTCTTTCTCATTCTCACAAAGGTAGCCATACGTGCTGACAGCCACCCTGGTCACAAGAGCCAGGGGCCTGCCGGGACAAAAGACCTGGGTGGGGGTTGGGTGGTAACCCCCACAAGGTCCAGGGTGAAGGCAGTGACCGTCCTGTCCCCGGGCAGCGCAAGCCTGACACTGAGGTCCCAAGGAGGGCCACCTCAACCCTTTCTTTCTCTGTGCCTCCCACCCACCCCCAGACCACGAGGGCACCAACGCCTGCAGCGTCAACAACGGTGACTGCTCCCAGCTCTGCCTGCCCACATCCGAGTCGACCCGCTCCTGCATGTGCACCGCCGGCTACAGCCTCCGGAGCGGCCAGCAAGCCTGCGAGGGTCGGTGCCCAAACCGCCCAGCCGCCCCCCCCCCCCCCCGCGCCGGCCCTGACCCCTCCCCCCACCCTCCCGCCCCACCTGCTGCCTCTCACCCTGGGGACAGGGCTGAATTTATCACATATTATTAAGTGCCTCCTGGGTTAGGTGCTTAGTAAGCCCCCACCATGTCGGGTGCTGCCAGGGAAGCCAGGGGGCAGAAGTCCCTGTCCCTGTGCCACAGTCTTAACCTGAGAGGGGGCTAACCCGGAGGGGAAACTGGACTGTGAGGAGGCTCTCCAGTGCCTGCAGGAGGGTTTTGGAGACAGAGATGTCGGCAGGCAGCGCCAGGGCGGGCTTCATGGAAGAGGTGTGCTGTGAGCTGGGTTCTGTAGGACAAGCAGGATTTGAGCGCGTGGATCAAAGGAGAGAGGACAAGTGAGGCACGGGGTCCAGAGCAAGAGGAGGATGTGTGCAGCCCCCTGCCCCAGGCACCAAGCCCGAGGGGCGGGCAGAGTGTGGGGGGCGGATCGTAGGTGATGGGCTGTGGGGTAGGGCGGGCCTCCTGTGGCTTCTCAGCAAGGAGTGCCTGGAAAGTGGTGTTTGGGGCAGATTAACCTGGCGGCAGAGAGCCGGCTGGGTGGGGGAGGGAGAAACCGAGGCAGTTAGACCAGTTAGGAGGCTATTAGCGTGATCCCGGTGTGAGGAGATGGGGCTTAGCAGCTGGGCTGAAGAGAAGGGGTGAGACTCAGACATTTCACAAGAACTTGCTGACTGATTTATGAATTTGCCCCAGGACAGCACTTCCCAAAGTGCGCTCTGGGAACCTCCCTCTTTGATGTGGGTAGATGTTACAGAAAGAAGCACTGGGTTGAACAAAGTTTAAGTGTTTTTTGCTGCAGAACTTCTCAGAGTCTTGAATATGCAGATCTGCACTGAGATATTTTCTCAAGAGAAAACTCTGTTTGGGGTTGCTCCAAACTCCCTTGACCACGAATCCTTTTTTTCACGGAGGCTGAGAAACCAGAGCCTACTGGGGGATTCATCCGGGGCACACTGTAGCAAGGGATAAAGGCAGTGGAGGATTCTGGCTCATGTTGATAGTGGTGCCACATAAGGAATGGGAAAACAGAGGGGCGCCTGGGTGGCTCAGTCGGTTAAGCGTCTGCCTTTGGCTCAGGTCATAGTCCTGGGGATTCGGGATCGAGTCCCGAATCAGGCTCCCTGTTCAGTGGGGAGTCTGCTTCTCCCTCTCCCTCTGCCCCTCCCCCTGAGTCCTGCTCTCTCTCGCTCTCTGTCTCTCTCTCTCTCAAATGAGTAATTTTTTAAAATCTTTAAAAAAAAAAGAAGAAATGGGAAAACAGAATGAGACTGGCTCAGGAGTGAGGAATCAGGGATGTTGAGTTCTAGGTGTTTGAGAGAGGGTATGGATGGCACAGGCCAGACTGGGGAGGACGAAGAGCAACCCAAGATGGAAGTCTTCATTGAGGAGTCATCTAGTTCCATTGTCTTGTCTGAACCTCCCCAGGTTCTCCCTAACAGCTTTTGAGGGTGCAGTGTTGCCTTGAGTGAAGCAGGACTAAAGGGCCCCCTTCAGGAGAGAGAAATCCAGGTCTCTTCTGCCCTCTAGTGGGCGCTAGCAGTCTTGCAGGTGCTTCCCCAGAGCTTCTCTCCTTTCCCACCCCCCACACCCCATCAGCCAGATGACCTCCCAGCCCAAGCTGCAGGCCTCAGGCTAAGGTGAGTGTATCTGTGTGTTGAGCGGGGAGGAGTGATGGCTGGGAGAAGATACCAAAAAGAAGCAGAGAACAATAGGTTTGAGAGTGACAGACCCCAAGCTTAAACGGGTGTCAGTGAGGCCCGTGCCTGAGTGTCCTTGTGTTTCAGGTGTGGGTTCCTTTCTCCTGTACTCTGTGCATGAGGGAATCCGGGGAATCCCCTTGGATCCCAATGACAAGTCAGATGCCCTGGTCCCAGTGTCGGGGACGTCCCTGGCTGTCGGCATTGATTTCCATGCTGGTGAGTGATTTGGTGGCAGGAGGGAGTGGGACATTACCTTGGCGGTGGTGTGGGAGCCCAGTGAGAGGCTGCCTGACCATAGCAGGAGGGGGAGACAACACAGCTACCCTCCCCCTCAGGCTCCGTCTTCCCTCCCACGCCTCCTCCCCCCCAGTACTCCCCTCCATCTTATCTCCTTTTGATTCTGCCCCCCCCCCCCACTTTTCCCCCACCTTGCGGGACATCCTCACGTTGGCCCCTCTACCTACAGAAAATGACACCATTTACTGGGTGGACATGGGCCTAAGCACCATTAGCCGGGCTAAGCGAGACCAGACATGGCGCGAGGATGTGGTGACCAATGGCATTGGCCGCGTGGAGGGCATCGCCGTGGACTGGATCGCAGGTGAGCCATGAGAGGGTCCTGGGTGGACTGGGGGCCTCCAGGTGAGGCAGAGCCCTGGTGGGGGCATGTGGGATCTCAGAAGCCGTCCGAGGAGGAGTAAGCCAGAATAGATGGGGAAGCAGCAGGGATCTAGAGGCTGGAGAGGGACCGGGTACATGCGTTCGTTCCCACCCAGTCCCCCTGATCTCCACCCGCTTCCTCCTCAGGCAACATCTACTGGACTGACCAGGGCTTTGATGTCATCGAGGTCGCCCGGCTCAATGGTTCTTTCCGCTACGTGGTCATCTCCCAGGGTCTGGATAAGCCCCGGGCCATCACTGTCCACCCAGAGAAGGGGTGAGAAGCTGGACAGGCTGCCCAGTTCCCAACCCTGGCTCGGGTCTGGCCCGGTCACTCTCCACAGCCTGCACTGACGAGACCCTCTCTCCTCCATGGTCTGGGGACTGACCCCCAACTCCTACCTCCTCCGCCCCACAGGTATCTGTTCTGGACTGAGTGGGGCCAGTATCCACGTATTGAGCGGTCTCGGCTAGATGGTACTGAGCGAGTCGTGCTGGTTAATGTCAGCATCAGCTGGCCCAATGGCATCTCGGTGGACTACCAGGTTTGGGTGCAGGCTTGGCCCTGGAGCCCATGGGACATCCGGACCCCATGCTCTGGGCGGGGAGGCTCCCCTTACCCTGTGCTCTGCTCCCCGTTGACTCTCCCTGTGATGAGGCCCTATTCGGTGGGGAGATATGGACCCAGGTAGTCACGGGGTCTTCTGGCCCAGCTCCCGACCCAGAGTGGGACTCCTCCCACCCCAGAGAGGGTAGGGGGGCCGTCACGCAGAAGCGAGGACTGAAGCCATGCCTAGAGGTTGTCAGATCGGCAGGTCAGAGGGCGGGGAGGATATGGAGGAAGAAAGAGAAGACACGGGAGGCAGGAGTGAGTGGGACACGCCCTGTGGCCCAGGACACTGGGGCTGACGGGGAGCACTGGGCATTGGAGGTGAGGTGGGTGCCTCTGGCTATAGGATGGGAAGCTATACTGGTGTGACGCTCGGACAGACAAGATTGAGCGGATTGACCTGGAGACGGGCGAGAACCGTGAGGTGGTTCTGTCCAGCAATAACATGGACATGTTCTCCGTGTCTGTGTTTGAGGACTTCATCTACTGGAGTGACAGGTGAGGGCTTCTACCCTGGTCTTCTCCTCCGTCATCCATTCCCGCCCTCCTGGCCTCCGTCAAGGCCCTGCTCACGGCCTAGCCCTTCCCTCCCCCCGCCAGGACTCATGCCAATGGCTCCATCAAACGTGGGAGTAAGGACAATGCTACAGAGTCTGTGCCGCTGAGAACGGGCATCGGTGTCCAGCTCAAAGACATCAAAGTCTTCAACCGGGACCGCCAGAAAGGTGAGGCTGGGGCCCTGGGCCAGGCAGGAGAGGCACACGGGGGGGCCCCCTGGCCTGGGAGTGATCCCCCGGAGTGAGAGGGGCTGGGAGAGATGCAGGACCCACAGGGGCACTTTGCAGCAGCCCCAGAGAGCCGAGAGTGGGGAAGAGAGGCTGAGGAGCTCTAGGACTGGTCCGGGTGCCGAGCACAGAGGCCGGGAGGGCTGCCTGTGCTGAGGCCCAGTGGTGCCCCAGCCAGAGTCTCCACCAGCCGAGAGGTTGGAGGCACCAGTGAGCCTTTGCCCAAGGTGGGCCCTACCCTCTGTGACCATCTCCTTCCCCGCGCCCTCCCACCAGGCACCAACGTGTGCGCGGTGGCTAATGGTGGGTGCCAGCAGCTGTGCCTGTACCGGGGCGGTGGGCAGCGGGCCTGTGCCTGTGCCCACGGGATGCTGGCTGAAGACGGGGCATCGTGCCGCGAGTACGCCGGCTACCTGCTTTACTCAGAGCGCACCATCCTCAAGAGCATCCACCTGTCTGACGAGCGCAACCTCAACGCGCCCGTGCAGCCCTTCGAGGATCCTGAGCACATGAAGAATGTCATCGCTCTGGCCTTCGACTACCGAGCAGGCACCTCCCCGGGCACCCCCAACCGCATCTTCTTCAGCGACATCCACTTCGGGAACATCCAGCAGATCAATGACGATGGCTCGGAGAGGACCACCATTGTGGAAAGTGAGCCCAGACCCTGATCCTCCCCGGGAAGGGGAGGGTAGAGGGCTCTGGGGAGGACCGGCACCGCCTGAGGGGAGAAAAGCCCTCAGCCCGCCCACCGTGCCCCAGATCTGAATCCCAGCTGTGACTGCATCCCTGACAATTCGCCAGCTAACCACACTGCACCCATTATAGTTACTTGGAAAGTTTCTCCTCATTTGGAGTCGGAGTCGCCTCCCCTCTTCCTTCATCCTCTGGCCCTAGTTTGCCCCCAGGTGGCACAGAATAAGCCAAAGCTCTGCTCTCTGTGGCCGGGACTCACGGCACAGGCTGCAGAGAGAGTCTGGGTTCAACCCCAGACACAGGATTTCAGGCACTTGGGCCAGTTTCCTCCGCTGTCCAAGCCTCAGATGTCTCGTGTGCATAGAGAGAGAGGGTCACCTGAAGGGCAGGTGTGACAGCTTAGCTCAGCACAGGACGTGTGCATGCTCCACAGAGAGTACTGAGAGCTAGAGATAGCAGCCTAGAACAGCTGTTCGGATCTTTGCAAAGCGCTGTTTTGTTCCGCTACGGTTTTCTCTTCTGGCTGGATAACCCCTGGTCCTTTGACTCACTCATTTGCTCATTCCTTCATTCATCCTGTCCACAAAGACCTGCCAGTCACAGAACTAGATGCTGGTATCCAGCGGTGGTATACATATGTCCGTTGAGCCTCCTCTGGACATGTCCCACTCCACGCAGAATGCGCCTGTCTAAAAATGTGTCCAAAGCTAAACCAGATACTCTTCAACCGTAGCTTGATCAGGAGAGACTGGCAAGAACTGTCCCCTCCCTTCGGACCATTGTTTAAGCTACAGTACTTCTAATGCTGCAGCCTTCTGGCAAGCGCAGCGTCATACAGCTAGAAGCCACGAAAACCCGAGGCTTTTTCTCTTGGGCTATGGTTGCACTAGTCATCGTGCACTTAATTCTTTAACCAGAGTTTAGGATGTTTACGAACAATCCGGTTCAGGTCTTGTTCAGCTGGAAGCTCCCAGGACAGCCCAAGTCGGGTGTGATTTACCAAAATCCATAAAGCCATTTCTCCCCGGCTGTGGGGAGACGCAGGAAGAGGGGTCAGGGAGATGCACCATGGATCATTTGCATAGAAAATAGGGAAGGACGGGGGGTGGGGTGGGGGTGCCCAGGCTGCGCTTCCACGTGCCCCCCAGCTCCCACACATCCCCATACAGCCCCACATATGCCAGAGGAGTGGGTGCTCCAGGCCGTCATCCCCCTTCGGCTCTGCTCCCTGGCCCCATCCCGACCCACGATGGCTCCTCTCCCCTTGCAGATGTGGGCTCTGTGGAAGGCCTGGCCTATCACCGTGGCTGGGACACCCTCTACTGGACAAGCTACACAACATCCACCATCACCCGCCACACAGTCGACCAGACCCGCCCAGGGGCCTTCGAGCGTGAGACGGTCATTACCATGTCAGGAGACGACCACCCACGGGCCTTTGTGCTGGATGAGTGCCAGAAGTGAGCTGCTGGGTGCAGGGAGTAGGGAGCGGGGAGGGCTAGGCCACAGGGTGGCAGGAGCTGCCCCAGGCAGCCCCGGGTGGGGGTGTAGCGGTAGGAGAGGCTGACTGTCCCCCGAGATCCGCTACCTCCTTGCTTTGTGACCTTGGACCAGCTATATGAACTGTCTGAGCTTCAGTTTCCTCATCTGTAATATGACAATAATATTTCCGGTGCCTGAACCAAGGGGAGGATCAGGGGGACTCTGAGGGACAATTCTGGCTCAATGATGAATTGATTCATTCATCATAGAGCCATGGTCAAGGTACGTAGTAGGTCCTCTGTGTTTCTGGCACGCCAAGCTTCAGGCAAAGATTGTTCACTGAACACTTGCTGTATGGAAGCCTTCATCTGGGCCCATTTAAACCACCTAGCTGGGGAGAGAAACCATAGTGCTGGGAAGCGCAGAGCCCGGTATAGGACGTTGTGTGATGACCAAGAGGCATCCCAGAGGCCATGCTGTGGCCCTGGGCCTAGACATGGGAAGGCCAGGGAAGGGCAGCCCGGACACAGGGCAATGCTTTGAGCAACTGCTGGAGGAGGAAGTGTGCTCTAGGCAGGGAAGGACTGTGAGGGGCCTCCCCATGCCCAGTCAAGGAGTCCCCATGGGCAGGAGCAGGCATGCAGATGGCCCATGAGGCTGGGCTCAGGTTGTGAGGGAGTCCAGAGCACGAGTCAAGAGGACTTGGGAGGAAATACCCCCCAGGTCTCCACCTGCTCCGCTCTCCTGCAGGGCCAGCACCCCCTCCATTTCCAACGTGTGGGCCTCTGGTGAACCACCCCCTCACCTTAGAAATCCTGGCCCACGTGAAAGCAAAACTGTTTTCCCCAGAACTCAGCAACCCTTGGAATGTTTTCCCAAAGCTTTGCTAGGAAACTAAGGGACAAACAAAACCCCAAAACAGCTACTTAGAAACAGGGAGTGTACCGAACCTAGATTCCTTACCCTGATGTCACTCAAGTCCAGCCTCAGCCCGGCCTGCCTGGCCCTGCAGACCGGCACAAGGGCCCTCTCCCTGGTCTGCCTCACCCTGGCCTGCACATACATGGCTCATGACAAAGATCCTCTCTTTCCTCTGTGACCCTTGGCGACTTTACCTGTCTTGGGCTGGCCCCAGGGCCTGTCGCTTCTGGGCCTAGAGCCTCCATGAAGAGGTGGTGCTGCTGGGTACCCCTGCCTGCCTCCCACCCCCAATCCAGAGGTGATGGAGCACTGTGGCTTCTAGAAGCTCCCTCATGGCTGCCCACCAGGTTCCTTTGCTCTGAGCCCAGGGGATTCCATCATTCACTCAGCAAATGGCTTTTGAGAACCAACGATGTGCTGAGGAGCCAGGGAAGGAAGAGATGGACCTTGGCTCTACCTCAGGCCTATTTGATGTTAACTGTGAGGCTTCGGGGAGCTTTATGAGTGTGTAACAGGACCTGACCCAGCTGGATATCAAGGAACGCGTCCTCAAGGAGGCAGCACCTGAGCTGGGGTCTGGAGGATGACCCGGGTGAACTGAAGCCAGGGCAGGGTGCAGGAGAAAGAGCTGAACTGTCTGGGAGAGGCCCTCTCTTGGCCAGAAGGAGCGAGTGCTGGTGGGGTGGGGGGGGCAGTGTGCACCCAGATGAAGGGGACAGGGACTCCTGCTGAGCCTACCCTACAGCTGGCCCTCAGGAAAGCCCCTCGTCCCGGCCCTCCCCCACCTCCACCCCAGCACCTTCTTGGGGCGTGGTTTTACCAAGCCTGGAACCCTCAGCTGTGGTACATGTCCTTCTTCCACATGTAACAGTTTGTCACGGTAAAAGGAAAGCCACTTCCTACCACAGAGTCAATTGGGCCCTACCTGAGGGTATGGAAGTCCCTGGCTGGGGACCAACAACGCCAGGAGGCTGACTCTAGCAGCACCCATTTTCTCCTGTGGAGGCCACAGAGAGATGCCACCATCCTTGATGGCATCATGCCACCATCCGAACTCCCATCCTGATTCCAAGAGCTATCCAGAACCGCCCCCCCGCACTTCCCCCAGGATGAGGGCCTTCAAAATCAGAGCCTCAGCTTCCTGAGCTCCCGGTGGCTTGGGAGCAGCCAGCACCTCCCAGAGTGGAAGGGAGTGTCCTTTTCCTTCCTGAGCATAGCATTAGGCGGTTATAGCTCAGACGCACTGGAGAGACTTGTGGGGGAGAGGGTGTGTTAAAAAGAGAGAGACCTTGGGGACACCCAGCTGGCTCAGTCGGTAGAGCATGTGACTCTTGATCTCGGGGTTGTGAGTTCAAAGCCCACATTGGGTGTAGAGATTACTTTTCAAAAGAGAGAGAGAGACCTGGAGAGGTTTGAGGAGACAGTTCCACCAGCTAGAAGACAACTCTGTGTCCAGAGCAGCAGGACATGGAAACATCGGGGCGGGAGGCAGGGGCAGTCCTGTGAGCAAGCGGGAAAGCAGAGCTGACTCTTCTGTCGCTAGGTGCTTCTCAAACTCCGGGGCACATGCAGCGTGTCTGGGGAGTGCTTGGAAAGTGCTGGTTCCCCAGCCCCGCCCCAGACCTAACTGAGTATGAATCTCTGGGACAGAGGACCCAGGGGTCAAGATCCAAAGCAGGTGGTCTGGGGATCACACTGTCACACCTAGTGTAGCACCTGCGCAGCCCTAAAGTGACGCACACCCATCTCTGGAGCCTCACCACCCTGCAAAAGGAACCCATCATGGCCAGGTCCCACCACCTCCTTTACTGAGAGGGGCCGAGGTGCAGAGACAAGAGGCTGGTTCAAGGTCAGAGCTAGTAAGGAGCAGAGCTGGGGCTCGGACTCCAAATAGGCAAAAGCCTGAAATTATGGAGAGGGTGCTTTTCAAGAACTTCTTGAGGGTAGGATCTGTGTGTCCCTGGCACTGGCATACACGAGACACTCACAGGGGTGTCCTGGATGCTGGGCGAAAAGCAGTTAAGAATAAAAGAATGGGAAATAGTCATGTGACATCATTAGATGAACATTAACTCTTAATCCTTCAATCATTCTACGAGGCAGGTAGTAGTATTATCCCTGCCGGTTCCTCACTGGTAAGTGGCAGCGCTCCGATCGGAACCCAGAACCTGCCTTACTTGGCTACACCGTCTCTCAGTAAAAGCCGATGGTCATTTCCCAGACGCTGAGAAATACGTGCGCATACCCACACAGAGACCCTGCAGCAGCTGGGGCCCCTCTGGGCGCCAGGGCTGTGTTGGCCTTGGTGGCTGTGAGGCTGCCTGGGGTGCTGGCATCTGGGTCACACCCTGGCTGACCCTTGGGTTCTGGTCAATTCCTGGCCCTCGCCCGGGCCCTCCACGACAGACTCCCCGGCTTTGACTCCTGATCCCCGTGGCCCTCCCTTCCCCCAGCCTGATGTTCTGGACCAACTGGAACGAGCAGCACCCCAGCATCATGCGGGCAGCCCTGTCGGGAGCCAATGTCCTGACTCTCATCGAGAAGGACATCCGCACCCCCAACGGCCTGGCCATCGACCACCGTGCCGAGAAGCTCTACTTCTCCGATGCCACCCTGGACAAGATCGAGCGGTGCGAGTATGACGGCTCTCACCGCTATGTGAGTCTGGGGCCGCCAACGGAGCAGGGGGCTCGAGGTGGGCTGGGGTCAGGGGACGGCTGGTCAGCCAAGAAGGAGATGGCCCAGGCAGAAAGGGAGGCCCCCTGGTGGGAAGATTCTGGAGGAGAATGAGGCACAAACATTGCCACTTAGCTGTGTGGCCGCGTGTGGCCCTCATCCTGTGCAGGCTCGGCTTCCTCGTCAGTTCAGTGTGGAAACGGCAAGATGCCTCTTTGGGTCCTTCCCGTTCTGGACCATGTCCGGAGACCCTTGCCCGTGGGGCCAGCTGCAGTGGGGTGGGCTTGGGGAGAGGCCCGAGCCTGCCCGCGATGGGCCCTGTGCTGTTGCCACAGGTGATCCTGAAGTCGGAGCCAGTCCACCCCTTCGGGCTGGCTGTGTACGGGGAGCACATCTTCTGGACCGACTGGGTGCGGCGAGCCGTGCAGCGGGCCAACAAGTACGTGGGCAGCGACATGAAGCTGCTGCGCGTGGACATCCCCCAGCAGCCCATGGGCATCATCGCCGTGGCCAATGACACCAACAGCTGTGAGTGGGGCCACTGCCACCAGCCTTGCTCTCCTGTCCACAGTGCCAGCATGTCCACACACACGCACACACACACACGTACACACTACGCCCTGGTCTCGTTCTCCCAGAGCCTCCATGTGCAGACATACACTTGTACACACCTTCACCCCCAAGAAACTCCAAAACACCTAACACTCCTCTACTCCAGCTCCCTCAAGACATCTTTGCACGCGTGCACACACACACACACGTACGCACATTCATACTACCCCACCACTGGTCTCACCTGAATCCTTAGACACCCCAGCACATGCCCTAGTCCTTCTCCCACCCAGAATCACATGTGCCCCCAGAGCTGATCACACACATCCCAGGCTCTGCCCGTGCTCTGCGTGCACGTGTGCGTGTACATGCGTGTGCACAGAGACACTCCCACCCTGGATCTGCCTTGCCCAGTGGCCCCCACCCAGATCCATAGCTTTCCCAGGCCTCTCACACATACTCCCGGGCCCCACCACGATGCTCCTTAGACTTGAATCTCCCCAAGCACACAATGAAGCCCACATCATCCCCCTAAGAGCAACCCCCCTCCACCCCAGGCCCACCCCAAACACTCCCCCTGGCCCTCCCATAGCACCATTTCTGCTCCCCCAGCTAGGTGCCGCTGTGCCAGGGCTGGGGCTAGGAAGCTCCCTGAAGCTATGTGAGTGGGTGTGGGCATCCTGTGTGTGCACAGCCGGGGACACTCCTAGCCCATTGTCGTCCGTCCCTGTTCCAGGCGAGCTCTCCCCTTGCCGTGTCAACAATGGGGGCTGCCAGGACCTGTGTCTGCTGACTCACCAAGGCCATGTCAACTGCTCTTGCCGAGGGGGCCGCATCCTCCAAGAGGACCTCACCTGCCGCGGTGAGAGACGGGGCACACTGGTGGGGGACCCTGGGCACACACTGGGGACCATCGCCTCCCAGACTCCAACAGCCTGGCCCCCCAAATAGTTTCACCAAGGAGAAACTGAGGATGACCTGAGTTCCGGGGGGCAGAGGGGGAGAGGCGTTCGAGGCCCCAGGGCCCTGGCTCATGAGGCTCCCTCCACACCCCCTCCAGCTGTGAACTCCTCCTGCCGGGCACAAGATGAGTTCGAGTGTGCCAACGGCGAATGCATCAACTTCAGCCTGACTTGTGATGGTGTCTCCCACTGCAAGGACAAGTCTGACGAGAAGCCATCCTACTGTAGTAAGGCGCCTCCTGCAGCCTCAGCGCCCCGCCTTCCTCCCTTCCCCCTGGCCTCCAGGCTCCCCAGCCTCTGCCTCCAGCAGGGCTGGGTGTGAGAGTGAGGGGAACAAAAGCTCCATAACCCACTCCGTGGCTGAGGAGTCTGGGGAGGTCGTGAAGGGCAGAAGCACCACTAACCCTGGGCCAGGCCCAGAGCAGGGCTGAGCAGGTTGTCAAGGGAACAGACGAGTGAGGTCCCACCGGGAGCTGCTGCTGACTGGTGGCCCGCTCCCCCCACCTCCCTTCCGCAGACTCGCGCCGCTGCAAGAAGACCTTCCGCCAATGCAACAACGGACGCTGTGTGTCCAACATGCTCTGGTGCAATGGGGCGGATGACTGCGGGGACGGCTCGGACGAGATTCCCTGCAACAGTGAGTGGGACCCCACTTCCGCCCCACCCCACCTCCCCAGGCCCCACGGGGTCTGCTTCAGCGTGCTCTGCGGGGGTGCCTGGGGTCTCCTGGCCCCCATGGCGGGGGGTACTCTGGCCTGATGGTCTTGGGGTGGGTGCTGTTCTAGAGACGGCCTGCGGCGTGGGCGAGTTCCGCTGCCGGGACGGCACCTGCATTGGTAACTCCAGCCGCTGCAACCAGTTTGTGGACTGCGAGGACGCCTCTGACGAGATGAACTGCAGTGAGTGACACCCCTCCCCGGTGCCTCCTAGTCCTGCTCCCTCGCCTCCTGTCTGGCCTGCTCGCTTGGCGGCCTCAGCCCCCCTCACAGCCTGTGTGCTCCTGCCCCCTGCCTCCAGGCCTGGGCTCTGGGGTGGCGTGAGTAGAAGGGGCGGTCAGCATCTCCTCCCCTGAAGGGTACCAGGCCACTTTCTAAAACACCAAGGGCAGCTCCGGGGGAGGGAGTGTGGAGGGAACCGGGTGTCACCTGCATCCCTGCCCCTACCAGGCGCCACCGACTGCAGCAGCTACTTCCGCCTGGGGGTGAAAGGAGTGCGCTTCCAGCCCTGTGAGCGGACCTCCCTCTGCTACGCCCCCAGCTGGGTGTGTGACGGTGCCAACGACTGCGGGGACTACAGCGACGAGCGCGACTGCCCAGGTCCCGCCTCGGGCCAGGTGTGCGGAGGGCGGCGGGCCCTCCAGGGCGCCAGTGCCCTCATGCCTCCCTCTCCCCCCAGGAGTGAAGCGCCCCAGATGCCCCCTGAATTACTTCGCCTGCCCCAGCGGGCGCTGCATCCCCATGAGCTGGACGTGTGACAAGGAGGACGACTGTGAACACGGCGAGGATGAGACCCACTGCAGTGAGTGACCCACCACGGCGCCCACCCACTATGGCCACTGGAGTCCCAGTCCACCTTTCAGTTCCCTCCCGGGAAGTGTCCCCTTGGGAGAAGGGCACCCAGGGCTCCCCTGTCTAGCTCATGCTGAGCCCCCACAAAGGGATGCCTTGGGTCTCTCCCGGCCGTCCTCCACCTGCCTGCCCAGCAGAGTGACCTGCCGTCCCCTCCCCCATCTCACTTTGGTTTCCAACCGCCCCAGACAAGTTCTGCTCGGAGGCCCAGTTTGAGTGCCAGAACCATCGCTGCATCTCCAAGCAGTGGCTGTGTGACGGCAGTGACGACTGCGGGGACGGCTCAGACGAGGCGGCTCACTGTGGTGAGGGGTGGCTGTGGTCAGCTCAGGGAGGGGCTCCTGAGGGACAGACGCCCCCACCCCACCCACACACCCACACACCCTCCTACCGGAGGGGCGGCATGAGTGTGGGGATGTCACGCCGACCGCCCGGCCCGCTGTGCCTGCTCCTGAATCTCTTGGCGGCTCCCTGTCCCCCCAACAGAAGGCAAGACATGTGGCCCCTCCTCCTTCTCCTGCCCCGGCACCCACGTGTGTGTCCCCGAGCGCTGGCTCTGTGACGGTGACAAGGACTGTGCGGACGGTGCTGATGAGAGCATCACAGCTGGCTGCTGTGAGTGGCGTGGGGGGGGGGGTGAGGAGTGGGGTGGGTGGCAGGTGGCCACAGTCTCACTCTGCAGAAGGGGAAACTGAGGCCAAGGAGGGGCGGCGCTTCAGCCGGCGTCACTCAGGTGGTTAGTGGCAGAGCCCTGACTACAACCCAGACGGCTGTTGTCTGTGCACTCGGACCCCACGAAGGTCCCAGGGACAGGCAGCGGCTGGTCAGGTGGGGGCTGAGGGGCCACGTCCGCCCGTCTCCGTCCGCAGTGTACAACAGCACGTGCGACGACCGCGAATTCATGTGCCAGAATCGCCAGTGCATCCCCAAGCACTTCGTGTGCGACCACGACCGGGACTGCGCGGACGGCTCCGACGAGTCCCCCGAGTGTGGTGAGGGTGCTGGGCCCCCGGCGGGCGGGCCGGCCTGCAGGGGGGATGGGGGGGCCGAGTGGGGGTGGCAGCAGGGGTGTGCCCTGCCCTCCCTGTACCTGGGCCCCGCCGGAGCCTCCAGCCTCATCCCCTCACCCCGCCCCCCCCCCCCCAGAGCACCCGACCAACGGCTCCTCGCAGTTCCTGTGCAGCAGTGGGCGCTGTGTGGCCGAGGCTCTGCTCTGCAACGGGCAGGACGACTGCGGGGACGGCTCAGACGAGCGCGGCTGCCACGTCAACGAGTGTCTCAGCCGCAAGCTCAGTGGCTGCAGCCAGGACTGCGAGGACCTCAAGATTGGCTTCAAGGTGTGCCCCACCCCGGAGTGGGAGCTCCCACACCCCCAAGGCCGGCAGGAGCTCCGTTCCCCACCCCCTAGTCATTCATTCGTTGGCTCATTCATTCGTTCGTTCACCGAGGGCGCACTGGGCACCTAGGCTGCTGGGCAGTGTTCTAGGCGCCGAGGCCCCAGTGGGGAACAGAAGCGAAGCCTGTGCTTGGTGGGGTCCTGCCTCTCTTTGGAAGGTAGAGCCACCAAGGGCTGCGGGAGAAGGAGGGATGTGCAGATGTCAGGGGGTGCCAGAGGTAGGGTACCCAGCTCAAGGGCGAGGCCTGACGGCAGCACCAAATCTGGGAGTTTTCACCGTAGAGACAGCATTTAAATCCGTGAGCCCGGAGAAGATCCCCAAGGGAGTGAGTGTAGATGGAAAAGAGGGGAGGCCCAAGGCCTGAGCCCTGTGCTCAGCCACACCGAGGCTGGGGCGGGGGGTGAGGGCGGCCGGCAGAGGAGCCTGAGAAGGGGCAGCGGCTGGGGTGGGAGAGCAGCCAAGTGAAGAAAGCCTCGGAGGAGGAGCGTGATCAGCTCCGTCAGATAATGCTCACGGGCCACATAAGATGAGGCCTAAGCATCGTCCTCTGGGGATAGAAGCAGGGCGGTCATGGGCCACCGCCGTGTGAGAGCCAGACTGCTGGCACGGGGCAGCTCAGTCCCTGCTTGCTGCCTGCCCACCCTGCCAGCCTCGGTTTCCCCAGCAGAGCCAGCCGCCCCGGGGTGGAGGGAGCCGGAGCCCCAGTCTCCAGAGGCTGGGTGGGGGGGACAGGGAAGGCCCCGACCCCTGCCCATGCCCAGCCCAAGGCTCTCTGTGCCTGCAGTGCCGCTGCCGCCCCGGCTTCCGCCTGAAGGACGACGGCCGGACGTGTGCTGACGTGGACGAGTGCAGCTCCACGTTCCCCTGCAGTCAGCGCTGCATCAACACGCACGGCAGCTACAAGTGTCTGTGCGTGGAGGGCTACGCCCCCCGCGGTGGCGACCCCCACAGCTGCAAAGCCGTGACTGGTGAGATGGGCACCTGGAGGGCATCCGATGGCTCGCACAGCTGGGGGTCGGGGGTGCTGGCACGTGCCGCAGCTGAGCCAGGCTGAGCCAGGACGCTCTCTCTACAGATGAGGAGCCGTTCCTGATCTTTGCCAACCGGTACTATCTGCGCAAGCTCAACCTGGATGGCTCCAACTACACGCTGCTTAAGCAGGTGCCGGGCCCGGCCCTCCTCACCCCGCCAGTCTCCCCAGGCCCAGAGCCGCGTACCCTGCCCTGTACAGCCCCCTCATCCTCCCCACTTGGGCCCATGTTCGCCACCCCTGCTGACTTCTCCAGCCACGCATGTCCTGATCTGTGGGCCTCCTTCTCCCCCACCCCACATATCCAGGGCCTGAACAACGCTGTCGCCTTGGACTTTGACTACCGAGAGCAGATGATTTACTGGACGGACGTGACGACCCAGGGCAGCATGATCCGAAGAATGCACCTTAACGGGAGCAACGTGCAGGTGAGGCCAGGGCAGTCCACTCATCAGCAGACAGACCAGTGTAGGGGTGGGAGAGATGGGGGCGGGGGGGGGCGGGATGAGGCAGAGATCCAGCCCCGGTGTCCCTCCCCAGAGGGCTCTTTTGCAAGGCCATCTCCCCTTCCCCACGGGTCACTGCACAACTCTGCATGTCCTGGCTTCTCTCTCCCCTCCAAGCTCAGAAAGCGAGGTCTGGGGGATTCCTCCTGCTCTTTTCCTAGTCATCGGTAGCGTCCCCCTTAGGGCTGGCCTCTCCTAAATGCATGCCCCAGGCACTGTGGAGCTTGGGGTACGGTCTCTCTCACCTGGAGACCCCTGTCCTAGAGCCTCCGCTGACACGAGGCCCAGGGCTGGGCCTTTTCCATCCGTTGTCCTCCCTGCCAAGCTGGAGGACGGAGCTCTGCTTCACTTCACACCTGGGGGAAGCTGGGCCCCAGAAAGACTGAGGGTCCCGCCCCAGGTCACCCAGAGCTCTTCCTTCCCTGCCCCCGCCCACAGGTGCTGCATCGGACAGGCCTCAGCAACCCGGACGGACTGGCTGTGGACTGGGTGGGCGGCAACCTGTACTGGTGTGACAAAGGCCGGGACACCATCGAGGTGTCCAAGCTCAACGGGGCCTACCGTACAGTGCTGGTCAGCTCTGGCCTCCGTGAGCCCAGGGCTCTGGTGGTGGACGTCCAGAACGGGTACGTGGGTAAAGAGGGTTGGGGGAGCCCCTGAAAGCCAGCGGTGTGCTCAGGCATCCAGGCCCAGCCTCCCTGTGGACTCCCGGTGGGACCAGTCGCAGGATCTCTTGGGGCTCACTGCCCGCCCACCTGCCAGGTACCTATACTGGACAGACTGGGGTGACCACTCACTGATCGGCCGGATAGGCATGGATGGGTCTGGCCGCAGTGTCATCGTGGACACCAAGATCACATGGCCCAACGGCCTGACACTGGACTACGTCACCGAGCGCATCTACTGGGCTGATGCCCGTGAGGACTACATTGAGTTTGCCAGCCTGGACGGCTCTAATCGCCATGTCGGTCAGTGAGGCTGCCTGCGCACAGCAGACCTGGGGGCTGGGGGTCTGAGGCTCCGGAGGATCAGGCCACTGGGGCAAGAGCATAGGATTAAAAGTCAGAGGGCATGGTCTGAGGACATCACCCACCAGGGGTATGCGGTGTCCAGAGCATCCCAGCCTACGGCCCTGGACAAGCCCAGGCATGAGGCCACCAACTACAGCCTCGGGAAGGAGAAAGAGAGGTCCCTTCTTATGCACAGTTCGGGGGGCTCTGAGAAAGGTGAGGGTGGGAGGCCTGGGGGTGGGTTACTTCGGTACAGGGAATCATACAATATTACAGAGTAGGAACCTGTTGTCAGAGGCCCAAGGTCGAGTTCCAAGTCTGCCACTTAACTGCACAACCTTGGGAAGCCATTTAACCATCCAGAAGCAGGGCAAGCGCCCACCTCAAGGGGTTGTTGTGGGCTTAAGGGCGTCCTGTAGGGAAGATGCTGACCGGCTGCCGGGCCTATTCCCTCCCCGGTCTGCAGTGCTGAGCCAGGACATCCCACACATCTTTGCACTGACCCTGTTTGAGGACTACGTCTACTGGACCGACTGGGAGACCAAGTCCATCAACCGAGCCCACAAGACCACAGGCACCAACAAGACACTCCTCATCAGCACCCTGCACCGGCCCATGGACCTGCATGTCTTCCACGCCTTGCGCCAGCCAGATGGTGAGTAGCCGGGGCCAGGGCGGGGGGGGGGGGGGGGGCGGCGGTGGGGAGTGGTGGGGAGCAGATGAAGGGTGAGCCTGGCACCAGGGGCCCCTATGGGAGGATGGGGCCCAGCAGGAGTGGTTGTAGCCCACCCCATCTCCAGCATTGCCTGAGACGTGCTTGCCAGACACTGGGAGATTAGGGGGCCTGTAGACAGGCTAAGATCTGGCTTTCAGGAGTTACAGCTCAGCCCAGGGCCGGCCACGGAGTCTCGTAGCAACAAGCCCCTGAGGGTGCGGACCACCGAGGTGGGACCCCAAAGGCAGGCAGGCCGTAGCTGAGGGCGGGCCCAGGGGAGGCAGTGTACGAGGTTTCAGGGCTGGCCTGATCCTGGGACCTCAAGAAGAGTCCTCTCCTTTCTCTGGCTTCAGCCTCCTCCTAAGCGAGTAGGATTTGGATCCATCCTACCTCTGCCAGGATAGAGTGGGCTAGGCAGCCTTCAGAAGACCAGAAAGTGTGGCACCAGGGAGCGCCGGCCTCACTCTGCCGGAGGCCCGTGGCTCAGGGAGCCCGGCCCATACAGTGGGCCCAGTCGGCTGCGCTTTAGCCACTTTCTCTCCGGCAGTGCCCAATCACCCCTGCAAGGTCAACAATGGTGGCTGCAGCAACCTGTGCCTCCTGTCCCCCGGGGGGGGCCACAAATGTGCCTGTCCCACCAACTTCTACCTGGGCAGCGATGGGCGCACCTGTGTGTCCAACTGCACAGCAAGCCAGGTGAGGCTCTTCCCCCGACCCCCATTCACCAATGCCTCGCTCCCCCAACCCCCCACACCAGTACCCCCACTCCTCCTCAGACCCCAACACCCGCTCTAATGTCCTCACGCCATCTGGTTTTTTCCACGCTAACGCCCCCACATTTCTTGCCTACCTCTTGTCTCCCCACAGCAATACTTTTATACCCGTCACCTCACACAAACACCCCCACACCCTAACCCTGGCCCTCCCTCCCCAGTACCCCCCACACTGACCCCCCCACAGATACCCCATCACCTGGCCTTCCTGCACTCCTCACATCCCAACCTTCCATCCAGCTCAGCTCCCCCACAAAATACCATGACCTTCCCACTTCTTTGAAACATCCCAGCCCCTCAGAAGAAATCCTCCCGAGTCCCCCAGACCCCCACCAACCCCTCTTGCCCCCACCTGCCCTCCAGTTTGTGTGCAAGAACGACAAGTGCATCCCCTTCTGGTGGAAGTGTGACACAGAGGACGACTGTGGAGACCACTCAGACGAGCCCCCGGACTGTCGTAAGTGCCCAGAGCAGGGGTGGCAAGAAGGTCCTGGCTGGGGGCAGCCCGACCCCTGAGGCTCTGAGTGGCCGTGCCCAGCCCCAGCCCTTCTGACTCTGAGGCTCCCCTCCTGGCAGCCGAGTTCAAGTGCCGCCCGGGACAGTTCCAGTGTTCAACGGGCATCTGCACCAACCCTGCCTTCATCTGTGATGGGGACAATGACTGCCAGGACAACAGTGACGAGGCCAACTGCGGTAAAGGGCTGCCCAGCCACCGGCTGCCCGTCCTTCTCCCCTCCCTTCTCCCTCCCTGGGACTCGGGGGTTTCATACTACACTCCAGGGGCAGGGAAGCTCAGCCCACAGCAGCCTCTTCTCCGGGCTGGACTCCTGCTCCTCTGAGCCCTGAAGCCAAAGGCTCACCCCCGCGGAGGGGGTGGGGCGTCCCCTCCCTGCCCCCGCATCCTCC